TCCTCAGGTAAACATACACAAAAACTGTTCCACAGAGCATAAGGGTGGGTACAAATCCTGTTTTAGCACTTTTGCACACATACACACTCCCTGCTATTTGTCATACCAAGGGGTAGACACATAGATTGCTTCCTGTATCCCTCAAGGAAAGGTACTGAGGCAAACAGCCAGCTACTATAAAGTACAAATTTATAGTAGAAAAGTAAGGAAGGAGTCCACTGCACCTCCTGCTTATGCTCCTTAGTTAGAAGCACTTAATACTTGAGACTGGCAGGCTTTCGGGTCAGCTACAGCCTGGTCCCATATCCTGGGAAGAGGTGACTGCCTGAGAGATCGGAAGTCACCAGCAAGCTGATCAAATTCTTGGACCCTCCTTACCGCCCAGACTTCGTGTCTCTGTTGCCAGAGAGCCACTGTGGGATTTCTGCCCGTGGCCTGAAGGCAGAACACAGAAGGACGCTGCGCCCTAGCAGAACGGGCGGTGCTGGAGGGCGGTGCTGCCAGCCCTTCTCCGCCAGTCGCTGTGTGTTCAGTGTGCTGCTGCTCAGTGCGTGTCTGCATGTGTACAGCGGTATCTCTGTATCAGGAATGTGTGCACGTGTAGTGTTCTCGTAAGCAGATACCCTCTCCTTGACTTCATTATGCCAGGAAAAATCTTTTAAAATTTAAAATGGGCCAGGTGTGGTGCACACCTGTAATCCCAGCTGCTTGGAAGGCTGAAGCAGAAAGATCACAAATTTAAGTCCAGCCTAGGTAACTTAGCAAGACCTTGTCTCAAATTTTCTAAAAAATGGGGGGGACTGGAGAAGGTAGAGCATTGGTAAAACACCCCTTGGGTCCATCTTCACCACCATAAAAATAATAAAAATAAATCGAGAATGTTACCTTTTTTACAGTTGCGTTTCTTCCCTTTTTGGTGAGTTCTGAGTTTACGCAGGTGGAAGGTGGATGGTCATACAACTGCAGCCTGGCCTGTGTTGTGCGTGCTGTGAAGTCGAGTGTGCAGTGAGGCCTGACCCGGCAGGGGGGTGGGGTGGAGGAGGTGCCACATGGGGCGGCTGCAAAGTGAAGTGTGACAGAACGGGAAAGGCCTGAGACCCGGGCAGGGTGGGACACTGCAGAGCGTCTCTGACGCCTTGGGACCTGCTCAGGGAGTGTTGTGTGGCTGGTCACAGGTACCACAGTAAAGGGCATGGGAAGTCTTCAGGCAGCCGCTCAGGAGCTCAGGGCATGTTGGGGAATGGCTGGTGCCTAGTCCTGTGACTCGAACTGGGCCCGCACAGCTACTGGGGCACAGTCAGGGCCTCTCCTCAGGGTCCCTTTCAACATGCAGGAAATGACCCCTACTCAGAGGCTCTCACACCTTCAGAGTGTAGAGGACCTCCCCGGCCCAGAGGCCTCAGCTGTCACCAGAGGCTCCTGAGAAGGTACACTCCTCAAAGAAGGAGTGCACACCTGGGCGTCCAACACCACGTGTAGACAACACATAAGCCCACAGTGCTCACGTCCCTCGCATCCCTCAAGCTTCCCTTAGCCTGCAGGTCATGGGCTCCGGCGGCCCCCAGGAAAGGCCGTGCGGCGGCGCCCAGGCAGCGTGCAGCTGCTTCTCAGGCCACTGCCTCAAATGGGCAAAGCTGCACCGCCAGCACCTCCCACTGGGCCCAGCCAGCCCACAGCAATGTTAGGCCTGTCACAGGACTGTCCTCTGGCTGATCCAAGGGGCACAGCTCTGATCTGGTCATTTAGAGCCCAGAGGGCTGTGTGGACACGCAGGCGCCAGCAAATGGAACTGCACATATTAGAAAGCAAGAGGTCCTTCCTCAGGACAAGAAGCTCCTGGGAGGAGCGGCTGGAGGTCAGGAAGAACAGGCGTGGGAGGGTCTGCCCAGGGGCCACTCCGTGTCACTCACTCCTGGTCCTGAGGAAGCAGCAGGTGGTACAGGCAGACGCTCCCAGTCCATGCACACCTCACCTCGTGCACTCCTGTGATTTCCTGGAACACAGCAGTTTAGCAGCTCTTTCTCAGGGTGTTCAGTTAAGAGTGCCTGTGGTTTCTTCTGTGTAATGTTCTGTATTTTTTGTCCATGGTCATGTATTACTCTGTAACCAGAAAATATTTTAAGAAAATGAATGAACTCATAAAACATTGTGGAGTTTTTTGTAAACACATCTGCATTGAAGGCAGAAGTATAATTCTGTATTACATAGGTTCTCAGGTATTTTTCCCATAAAAAATATCCCCTCCAGGTGGAACTAGCTTGCATTTTTTGTTTGAGAAGTTAAGTACAGAAAAATACAAAGACAAGACCACAGGGCTGCGGGTTAGCCGGCAGTCAGTGTATGTGCAGTGTTCCTAGTAACATCGTTACTGAGATAAAATTCAGAGGCCATAAAATTCACCCTTGTAAGTATACAATCGCTGTTTTTTAGCATGCTTACAAGGTTGTGCAACCGCCATTGTGGTCTTATTCAAGCCTTTCCATTACCCCAGAAAGAAACTCTGTCCCGTTAGCAGTCATTCCCTCTCCCCAGTTCCTGGCTCCTGGCAAACACTAATCCACATTCTGTCTCTGGAGTTGCCTGTCCAGGACTTTTCACAGAAACGGAATCATGCAGCACACAGCCTGCCTCAACTGGCTGCTTTAAAAATTGGGGCCGGGCTGGTGGCACACGCCTGTATTTACAGCTTATTGAGCTGTAAATACATCCAACTCAGGAGCTGGTTGCAGGAAACCTCACGCTTTAAAACTTGGGGCACAGTTCGTGGCACACTCATATGCCTGAGTGCTGTAATCCCAGCACTCAGGAAGCTGAGGCAGGAGGATCATTGCCAGTTCAGGACCAGCCTGGGCTACAAAGTGAGTTCAAGGCCAGCCTGAACTGCATAGCGAAACCCGCTCTCAAAAAAAGACCCCCCCCAAAAAAGGGTGGTTTCTCTTTTTCTGTGTTGAGCTGTAAATACATCTTGCAATACAAGGGATATGAGGCCCTTGTGCGATGTGTGACTTGTAAGTATTTTCTTCCTTCCTGTGGGTTTTTTCACTTCCTTAATAGTGTCTTTTGAAACAGAACTTGAGTTTTGATTATATCCCATTTGTATGTGTTATCTATACAGTAGTTGCTCATGCTTTTGGAGTCAGTCTAAGAAGCCTTTGCCTAACTTAAGTTCATAACAGTTTATATCTGTGTTTCCTCCTAAAAATGTTACAATTTGAGCTCCTGCATTCAGGCCTTTGGTCCACTACGAGTTCATTTTTTGATGCAGTCTGGGGTAAAGGCCCAACTTCAGCATGTTGTTGACATCATTTGTTGAAAAGACTTTGTTTCCTCCATTGAGTTTTCTTTCTATCCTGGTGGAAGGTCAGTGAATCGTAAACATCTGGATGTGTCTTCAGTCTCTCAGTTCTGATTCTTTTCAAGCTGTAGCCATTCCGATGCCAGTGCCGTGCAGTTCCTCTTGCTTGGAGCTCAGTTTTAGAAACAGGAAGTGTGACTCCAGCTTAGCTCGTTTTCAAGATGGCTTTGGCTATTTGAGATCGTTTGCATTTCCCTTTGAGTGTCAGGATCATTTTTACCATTTTCTGCCCCCCAAAAAGTAGCAGGGATTTTGATAGATTATGTTAACCTATAGATAAATTAGTGTTTTGTCTTAAATGCTGAGTCATCTAGTAAGTCTTGCATTCTTGAATTTACTCTTAAGTGTTTTTTATGCTGTTGTAACTGTATGCTTTTTTAATTTCATTTTTGGATGCTTTTTCCTGTTGTATAGAATCCAGTTCAGTTTTGTATATGGATCTTCATCCCAGAGCTTTGCTGAACTTATGTATTTAGCCTAGATTGTGTGTGTGTGTGTATGTGTGTGTGTGTGTGTGTGTGTGCGCGCCGCGCGCGTACTACTTCCTACTTAGGGGTGATGTCATCTGCAGCTAGAGGTGTTTCACCTCATCCTTTTCAAGCTGGGTACTGTTTCTTTTTTTCTTAGCCAACTGCTGTGCCTAGAAACTCTATTCACAATGCTGACTGGAGGGACCAGAGTGGATGTCCACACCTCATTCCTGCCCTGGAGGCAGCTTCTAGTAGCTCATCTCTGAGCAAATCTTCCGGTGTTGCGTCATGCCTTCTGTTGGGTTAAGGACTCCCCCTTGTCTTCGTAGGCTGTGGTTTTGTCATGAGAGAGTGCTAGACTGTGTCAAATGCTTTACTGCATCTGTTGAGACAACTGACTAGTTTTTGTCCTTTATTCTATTAACATGGAGGATCACCCTGCTTGTTTTTTACATAGTGACCCACTTTTCCTGGAGTAAATCCCACTAGTCATGGCATATGATCCTCTTTCTGTGATGGCTCATTCTGCTAGTATTTTTCACAGATTTTGGCATCTATATTTATAAAGGACACTGGTGTGGCATTTTTTTTGTGATATTTTGCTTGGTTTTTGGATCAAGGTAACACTCTCCTCCAGGAAGCGGTAGGGTGTGTTCTCGGCTTCTGCTCGTTGAAAGAATTTCTGAGGAATGATGTTAGTGCCTCAAACATTCTGCAGAGTCCACCAGGGAAGCTGCCCAGCCTCTTTCAGCTTCTCACTTGCTAGTGATAGTTCGGTTTTTCTCAAGTCATTCTGATGGTTTCTTCTCTCTAGGAATCTGCCCATAAGTTCCTTTGGCTGCCCATGGCTCCGTGCTGCTTTGATCTCAGGTGTGGTTAATTCCCACAACAGGCTGCCCCACCCACCTGTCAGAGGCAGAGGGGCCCAGTCACGCTCAGTGCTCTTTGAGACCAGCCTCTCGGGCACTGGGAGGCAGCTGGGGCTGCCTCCAGGTCCCCCAGTCAGCCGCAGTCAGCTCTAGCCTGTGATGCCCCTGCAGGGTCTTCGAACCTGCACTCACAGGGAAGGGACATGGTGTGCGTTTGTCATTCTAAATGACATGCTGGGGGTGCACCCTGCAGGCTGTTGTATGCCACCCCCCTCCTGCTGACACTGCCGGTCCCTCTGCTTCCAGGTGTTCACCTCGCACGGCCCCACCGTGATCATGCCCACCTGGTTCTGTTCCCGGGCCTGGTTCTCCCACGTGGGCCTGTTTGACGAGGGAGGGCAGGTAAGTACCATGAGGGCTGGGCTCCTGTCCTTCTCCGTGTGCTGCGGCTCTGCCTATAGAGACTCTGGCTGGCCTCCCTGCTCAGGAGCTGGTTGCAGGAAACCTCACCCTGCTATAACCTGCTTGGGGAAGCACAGGACCTGGGAGGTGTCAGCCAGGCCGTCTCTGGGGCAGCCCAGGAAGACAAAGAGCCCTGTTCCCCTCAAGGAATACCAGTGCTCCCTGGCATCTCCACCTGCCCGTGGGGAGGAGGTCCCCCTGGGTTGGCATCACCTGCGGGGAGCTGGGCCTTCGCCTGGGAGGTGACCATTGTCCCGCGCCCACGAGCCTCCCCTGCCATCTGAGCTGAGCACTGGTCTCCAGCCCTCCTTCAGGACCCATCCGCCTGCTCTAGTCCAGTTTTCCACTCAGTTATTAAATTTCCCATTCCCCGCCCCCAACTGTGGAGGGAGATGGAGCTTGGAGGGCTTTGCACCGGGTTTTCTCCACCGCACAACATGGGGCTCTGCTGTGCTGTGGGGAGAGTGGAGCTTCCCTCCAGGGAGCGAGGGAGTGTTGACCCTGCTCTTCCTGACCAGCCCGGCAGTCCTCAGCCAAGGCCCTGTACGCGGTCTCAGGTCCCGTTCCTGACTCAATGTCGCCCCCTGCTGCTGCCATGAGGTCATGCAGCCTCATCCTGATGCTGTCCGAGCTTTCCTTGGCTCTGACCACCAGGTGCCCTTGCCTCCAGAGGCCGCTGTTCCTGCTCACCACCGCCCTGCCTGCCCCAGCACGTGCACCTCACCTGGGGTCTCAGGCAAAGGCAGGGTGCAGCCTCCCCTCTGCCCTGCCTCTCCGGCCCAATACAGGTTCATTTCCCCTCCACCGGGAGCAGAGGCCTTCTCGGACTGGGGCCAACCTCACCCTATGCTCCCCGGACCCTCTCAATGGGCTCCTTTGCAGCAGAAGCCCTTGCGTGAGTGGTGCACACAGCACCCCCACAGCAGCTTCTCTCCTCGTGCAGGGAGTGCCGGAGGACCTGCTTTTCTTCTACGAGCACCTCAGGAAAGGCGGCGGGGTGGTGCGGGTGGACCAGAGCCTGCTGCTGTACCGCTACCATCTACATGCAGCCACACACTCTGTCCTCGAGTAAGTGGGCCGGTCAAGCAGGGCGTACACAGGGCATCCCGGAAGGCGCAGGGTGCAGTGTGGGTGGTGCAGGCTCAGGACTGGCGTCAGGATTAACTGTGAGGGGTGGGAAGGCCATGATGGGGATGCCTCCTTCCCAGGGAGTGGGTGCCAGAGGCAGTGGCAGAGCCATTTTCTCCCCTGGGACACCTCAGCAAAGACTGGGCACCCTCTACGTGTGTATCTTCTGTGTGTGCTTCCTCTGTATATACCCTGTGTGTGTGCCCTCCACATGTGCACTCTCCACATGCAGACCTTGTATCCTCTTGGCATTGCACCATCGGCACTGAGAACCGCAAAGCAGGCAAAACTCACTTGAGCAGTAGAGGAGGGGCAGTGAGGGCTCAGACACGGCACTGTCCTGGCATCAAACTAGCCCGAGGAGACGAGGGAGTAGCCGGCCCCCAGCGCTGAGGAGCCAGGTGGAGAGGGCCCTGGCAAAGTGTCCAGAAGCCGGAGTATGGCATGGAGGATGGGACAGACATCTGGAAGCATGTGCAGCGTTCCCAGAGTTGGCCAAGTGGCACAGGGGAAGCAGCACCTGGGCTCCATGGGCCTCCAGTACCCATAGAAACATCCTTTACCCACACCCATGTCTTGCTCAAGACTGTAGCTTCAGAGCAGACCTTCAGCTCATCGCTGTGAGCCATCACTTTTGTTCTTTTCATAACAACTGCACATTTCCATGAGCAGAGCAGGATGTCCTAGAACACGACCAAGGTGAAACTGTCCTTTTTACTCTGTTTTGATTCTCAGTACACACTAATTGCCCTGAGTCCAGGCTAGAAGGTTCTGGATTTGTTCAGAGGTGTGGTCATTTCCATGTGAGTGCCAGCCATGTCTCACATTCCAGCGCCAGCCCCTGTCCTCCCCTGGATGACTCTGGTGACAGGGTAGGAGTTAGCCGCCAGCATGGCGGCAGCATGGCGCAGTGCTCCCGCAAGCATGGTGGCTCCATCTGTTCAGGCCCAGGAAACCACCTGCAGCTCTGTAGCTCCTAGACAGTCTTCTCAGCCACCGGACCAGTGACATCACACAGCCACCAGGGCAAGGCGGGGACATGTGCTTGTCTCCTTCCGAGCTGTGACCCGGTGTGCAGCTCGCCCCACAGCCCTGGACTGGCCTGAGCACATGGTGTTGTCACAAAACAGACTGCCAAGGCACCGGCCACGTCCTGCTAGGTGGGAAGACAGGGTTTCTAAGCAGCTTGCTCCATCTCACCCCCGCAAGTGTCCACAGCCCCTCTGCAGACGTGCATTATCAATTCTGAAATCCCCGTGGAAATGTGGAAGACGAAGAATGGCCTACATCATCATGAAAAAACAAAACTAATGGCTCACAGCAATGAGCTGAAGGTTTGCTGTGAAACTACAGCAGAAGACATTTGAAGTAGCCACCGAATGGCAGAATGGAGAACCCAGAAATGGGAGGCCATGCACCGGAGGTGGGTATTCTCACTGACGGACCTGGATGTCCTTCAGGTCAGAGGGCAACTCTAAACTCCTGTCTCACCAGACAGAAGAGTGAAGTCAGGGAGGACCTTTGAGGTAAAGGCAGTGTCATGGTTAATGTCTGTGTGTCCCCTCCAAAGCCTCATGCGACCACGGGCAGGCTTTTAGAGTTTGATTATTATGGGTATGAGAGCTACACCCGCCCTGGGGTGGATAATTTGCATATGTAAGGGAGAGGAAAAGGGTGCTTGAGGACATTCCTCGGCCATTCCGCCCTGGTGTGTCTTGTTGCTTAGCTGTGTTCTGCCGCCTGAGCTGTTGCCGTGTGCCACTCTGCCTTATAATCTGCCAAGTACGGACTGATACTTCCACGAACTGTAAGCGAAATAAACCTTTCCTTCCTTAATTTTGGGCATCAGGTATTTTGTCCCAGCAGCGAGAAAAAAGTAACCAAGACAGGCAGCCAGAACTACGAAGAGCTAGAGAAATCATCAGAGGAGCTCGGGCCCAGTGGACACCGTCTTGGAGGACGTCAGTCCCTCACCACTGAAAAAGCTGGACTTCATCAAAATTAAGGCTTTTGCTTATAAAAGACACTGGCTGCAGATATAGCTCAGTGGTAGAAGGTGTGCCTAGCACAGGGACCTGGGTTTGATCCCCAAGACTGCTGAAACAAGCTAGTACTAAGCCAGAAGTCCCCAGTCCAGCCACTGGGGACGCAGAGAGGAAGCTGAGGCGGGAGGATTGCTTGAGCCCAGGCACCCAAAGGGCCAGCTCGAGCAACACAGTGAGACTTTCTGCTCTTAAACATTAAACAGATGCCATTAGGAAAATAGACAAACCACACACCAGGAGAGGATGATCCATGTATTTAGCAAAAGACTAGTATGAGAATGTACTGTATACAGAACTCCTACAACCTAGCAATATAGTCCTGTGAAATACTTGGATGGATGTGGCGGTGCGCAGAGCAGAATGTGGTCCCTGAGCACAGGAAAATGCGTGTCATTAAGGCCAGAGCAGTGCACACGGAAACCTCAACACACCACGGCTGGGAAGAACCAGCACCTCAGAGTTGCAAGTGTGACAGCAGGTGGGACACCGTGATGGGGTAGGATGTGGCTGCAGGGCGGACACGCCTTTTCGGGGGCTCCCTGGCTTGATTTTATTATCAAATCAATGTTGACCTCATGACCAGCAGTCCACTCCAGCACATCGTCCCTCAGCCTCTCCCTGTGAGGAGCCAGGGCCAGGCGTGGCTCGGCTCAGCACTCACTCAGCTGTGGGCAGGGTCCTGGGTTCATCCTGCACCACACCGTGTGCATATACACGCACATGCCCGGCCCTGCGTCTCGGGTTAGTGCTAAGTCCTGCTATGACGAAGGCTGACCCCCAAGACAGGGTGGACGTGAATGAAACGTGGCTGCAGTAGCACCGCCACCAGGCACAGAGCAGCCTGTGCGCTCAGTGCACTTAGCGCAGAGCCAGAGCCGGGGGACACGCCGGGCCGGGCTCTTAGTGCAGACGCGCGGGCACACGGTGTGTGTCGTGTGGAACCCGGGGGCACTGCAACCCACACCTTCACACGTGTAATTTATGTCTTAATTAAAATGCTGACACATCTGAGGACTGCTTTTCCGTCCGTAGATGTGCTGGAAGTGTGGGTGATAAAATGAGTAGGGTGGCTGGTCCTCCAGCCCCTCTGCCACCACCCAGCAGATGCAAGTGTGTGCCTTCCACGCTGTCAGTGGGTCTACGCGGGGCGGGGGTAGCGGGGGCGTTGAGAGGGTGTGTGACGGCAGCCAGCTCCCCCACAAGCCAGCTGGGGGCACCAGGCTCAGGCCCACACTTGCCTGCCCTGCCACAGGAAGTGGCCTCTGCAGAGCCCTGCTCTGTTTCTGTTTCTGCAGAGTAAGGCTTTGCCACCCACAACCCAAAATATGTGAGCTCATGTGAGTTTCTGGGCTGGATTAAGGTCTTTGTGCTGTGAATAGCAGCACCGCACAGGTGATGAGCTGTAATTACGGCCACAGGCTTGGGAAGCCGTGTGCTCTCCCAGGTTCTGTCGGAAGTCCTCCACTGAGGACACAGTTCTCCCTTTTACATGGAGAGCACTCTGCTCTCCTCCTGTGGTTCAGCACACTGTATGACACTTGAGACATGCAGAGGTGTGAAGGATGCCTAGTGCCCGGCTGCCACTCCAGCCCCAAGCCCAGCCAGGTGGCCTCGGTGGGAAGAGTGCAAGGGAGACTCTGGTGCTGTCCACATACAGATGTGATCACCACACCTGTTTCTAGATCATGTCTACCCAGTACACTGCATCTGCAGGCCAGAAATGACGTAAAGAGTGAGGCAACGAAGGGCAGCCCAGGCAGTCTGGTCCAGCCAGGTGGGCGGCCCAGCAGGTCTGACCCTGGACAGCAGCCTTCCCCTGCCCACACCCAGGCAGACATATCTGTTCTTCCCACTCAGGTTAGAGCCACCATCCTGCTGAGTCACATGTGTGGGTGGGATGAGGAGCAGGGACGGGGAGCTTTTTAGCGCCCAAACTGCACCCAAAACCTACTTGTTTATTGCAAGGTGCCTGCAGTGCAATCACACCTGAACACTGAGGTTTTTAGTTAAGAAAAACGCAGTTCCAGAGCCTTCAATGGTCCGAATAGCCCACTGCAGCACGAGTGCCCTGGGTTCACCTCCAAAGGCAGGTCAGGACTTGACCCCCAAGGGGATGCCCTGTGCGCCCCCACTCACCACCCTGTGGGGAATCCCCAGAGTTCCCTGCAGGAGCTGTCCTTGCACACGGGACACGTGAAGACAGGTGGCCTCCAGACAAGTTCGAGGACCCAGTGGCCCCTGTCCCAACCCCACGTGGGCTGCCCCGGGACTGGGTCCTAGCCCCAGTTGGGATGTGGTGCCAGCCAGCGCAGGTCCTCGTGTCCACTTTCAATGCCCAGCCAGGGGCATATGTGCTATATGCGTCCTCAGGCTTCCAGGCTGGGCCTGGAGCCCAACAACCGCTGGTCGGGACCCCTGAGCGGCACATCCTGCTTTTGCCACAACCTGGGGCATCTCTGCACAGGGAAGGGGGATGTGCCTGGCAGGTCCACTGCTGTGCAAAGGGGGCCCCTGCTGGTCACGACTGAGTGATGACGCTGTTGCTCTGGGGAACATGTCTTCCAGTCCTGGGGGGTTGTTGCTGTGCATGCAGGGCCACACCCTAGGCAGCTCTGTGTGGGCTGAGGTGTGCTGTTGGTCTCCTGGGAAAGAGGTGCTAGCTGTTGGCTCCAGAGGGGTGGCACCTACAGATCCCCTCCCAGATTACCCATCTGGTACAACTAATGAAATGGAAAAGGGTGGGGGGGCAGAAAATGCCAGGCAGGCCACACCTGCTCCAAAGTGAAGCACTGAGAACTGCCAGGCAGTTGTGTCTAGGTCCTCCTAGGCCCTGTGATGCGAGGATACTGCCTTGGGCAGGGCCCTGGGGACCTGAAGGAGATGGGGCAGGGAGAGAGACACAAGGGTCCAGCCCAGGGAGCTCAGGTCACAGCCCCGGCAGAGGGCGTGTCTGCTGCTGCCCCGAGCAGAGATCCCATGAGTCCGCTTGGAGCCGGCGACTGACCCTTCCTTTGCGCTGACCGCACTGAGGTGAGGATGCCTCCCCTGAAGCGTCCAGCCCATCCCTCAGCCCTGCATCTAGCCGGGGCCCAGGGAGTGGGGTCTCCGGGTCTCCAGAGTCAGGTTAAGGATGGAGCATCAGGGCTGTGCGCAGCTGGGGCCCTCATGATGGGCTGTGAGAGCAGGCAAGGCTGTGGCACCCACAGCGCCTGGCTACTGGCTACTGAGAGCACCTCCCCACTGCAGGACAACCATCTGGACCCACCGCGTGCGCTTCCTAGAGGAGCGAGCCCTGCCCTACTGGGCGGCCTTCACCATCTGGAATGCAGGCAAGCAGGGCCGCAGGCTGTACCGCAGCCTGACCGCTGCCAGCCAGCGCAAGGTAGGTGTCTCCTCCAGGCCCTGTCGGCCCCCACCGGCCCCTGACCCAGCCCTGCAGGCCCCATCTATCCATCCCCCCGACCTCCTCTGTGCCCTGCCCCCAGGTGGTCGCCTTCTGCGATGTTGACGAGAACAAGATTAAGAAAGGCTTCTACTGCCATGAGGATGCCCAGGTATGCTGGTTGAGGCGGGGTGGGGCAGAGCCCCAGCTCCTGGCCTCCCCAATCCCCCGGCCCTTTCCTTGGGGAAGGACCCTGTTTTCCAGCCCCATGAGCCAGGCTGGGAGCAGCGGGGAGCCCTCTTCTCAAAAATCCCAGGTGACCGATGTAGCTGGTGCTATCCCTTCCAGGAAAGGCCCAAACCACGGGTTCCCATCCTGCACTTCCGGACCGCCCAGCCACCCTTTGTCATCTGTGTGAAGTTGGTGAGTCACTCTACAGCCAAAGTCCAGGCACAGATGGCCACACAACGGCACTGACGCCTGGGACAGAACCACAGGCATGGGGACATGGTCGTGATCATCCAGCCCTTGTTTTGAGTAAACTCTCTAAGCGGGCTCTTGCCTGGGTCCATGGCAGTGCCCTGGGCCGCGGTTGCTGCCTGGGTGGCAAGAGGCAGAGGCCCCGCAGTGCCCCCAGAGCAGCACTGCAGACCAAAGCTCACAGAAGCTTGCAAGCACCAGGCCCAGCAGGGTCAGGACCCTGCTGCTCCTCCTGCAGTGTCACCCAGGTCCTCAGCACACAGAACCACCATGAACTGTTCTCATAATAGAGCTTCTAGAAGTCCTGCTGTGGGGCCCAAGCAGGGGTGAGGGGGTCCTGTGGCCACCACCCCACTATGGGGTCCATGTTCCCCGGGGTTGGCATTTGGAAGCCCAAGGTCACACCTCCTGCCCCACTGCAGCATGGGGTTCCCTGGGGCAGCCATTGCCAACCTTGTGGAGGCAGGGTAGGCCGGGTCACCACAGCCTGCTAATCAGCACTGGGGGGCTGGTATCTCCCGTGGAGACCCACAGGGCCGTGTCCCAGTGCCTCCCCCTCTGGCCCTGCTCCTGCAGGAGTTCACCGTGAGCCCCAGTGGTAGACACAGGTGCACCCCACACCCCAGCCCCACTGGAGGGCCTGCAAAACACCAGAGCGCAGGAGCCAGATTGAGCCAGACTTGCTGCTTCCCTGCAGGACCTCACAGGGGGGGAGTTCGAGGACAACCTGCGGTCACTGCAGCTGCGTGAAGGCCAGGACTTCCTTCACTTCAGCTGAGCTCCGTGGACTCTTGGCAGCACCTTCTCAGGCCACTGCACAGCAGCTGTGACTCAAGCCTGTCCTGCAGGAGTGACTCCAGGGCTCCGTCCCCAGCATCCCTTGAGATGCCCTCGGGCGTGGCTCCCAGGTCTTACTCATGCTTGAGTATTTTGTACTTTGCAACATAAACTTTAAACCATTTGATCTAAAGGAAGAGTTCCTGTTGTCAAGAGTTTGGGTTCTATATTCCAGGCAGGCCCATTGGCCAAGTTTCTCTTAACACATCCTCCTAGTTGTGCACCCAACAGTTTGACTTCAGTGGCATATGCTGCATGGCCGCCTAGTTCTCAGATGTGGCATCGGCACACGGGAGCCCAGGCCACGGAGCCTATCACCTTCCTGTGCCCCCACAACCCTGCCTGCTGCTCCCATGGAGGTGGCAGGATGCTCCCAAGAGTGGGGCCAGTTTTCTTGGCAGCATCCTCCCTGGCACCCACATCATAGCTCTGGGCATGTACCTGTGCAGCTCTGTCCCTTAATCTTTGTCATGTTTTTTCTGCAGCGTCTGCTGCTTTTCCTTGCAATTCCTCGGTAATGGGTTACTTCCAGCCATACCACTTCCTTGTACGGCAGGGCTCTCCTCGTGACGCCTGCAGCATGGCAGCAGCCCAGCCTGGCCTTACAGCCGGCCTCAGCCTCATGCTCTGCCCTGTGGAACACAGGACAGAGAGCCACGCCCGGCCACGGACAGGACAGAGATGCTTCCTGCTGCTGCTGCTGTCCATGTTATGGACTCTCTGTGCTTAGAAATAGCCTGCTTGCCACATGCTGTTTACATGGTCATGCTCCAGCTCCCGCACTCTGCTGGGCACCCTTCCTTCGGCACCCTTTCTTCCGAGACTGTCCTGCAAGTCCCGTCTGCCTGCCCAGTCTCCCCGCCAGAGCGGGGTTCTCAGCTGGGGGCAGCGCTCCAGGAGACACTGGCTCTGCTGAGTGCCTGTTCTGTCCAATTTCTTAGAAATCCCACGTGGCATGCAAAGCTCCTGCTCCCCTCAGTCAGCCTCTCTAGTCCAGTCTTAGTGCCAGACGCCTGGGCCCACGTGTGACCGTGTGCAGCCCTGTGTGCGTCCTTTGCGGCTCCTGGCCTTGCTGTCTCTGGTAGCTCCTCCTATCTCTGCTGACCCCTGCCTGCCTGCTCGTTGCCTTTTTGTCTTCTAATCTCCTGACAATTATGCCCTTTGACATTTCAAAACCCTGTGCTCTGTTAAGCCCTCAAGCGGCAGTCCCTCCTAGAGCCTCCCCGGAGGCGGAGGCGGAGGCGGCATCCTGCTGTTCAGAGTGCGTGCTTCAGCGAGCTTGTCCCCGTCTGCTCTGGGCTGGGCGAGCTGAGTTTCTACAGGAGTCGTGTGTCACTGCTCCTGGCTAGGAGAACCCTGCTCTCAGCACCTATGTCAAGGACATATCTAGGCAGAGGCCCAGCTTCCTCAATGCTTCCTGTCAGATCCAGCCCCCAGGGGCTGTTCAGTGTGGAAGCGGAACCTGGGGCATAGACTTAGGGTGGAGCAGGCACGCTGGGAACCTGGACCATGCGCTCCATGGCGTGTGTGGCCCAGCTGCCCATCACACCCTGTTCCAGGAAGCATGAGGCACTGTGGAGCCCACCCCACCTGAGGGACGGGCTGGCACACTGCAAGAGCAGCCAGGCCAGGACTGAGGCCTCAGCAGCCGCTCCAATCCCACCACCGTGCCGAGGGGCTGCCCTGCTGCCTGCACACCTGCATGGTGACCGGTCTTGGGGAGGACAGCTATCCCTACACTGCCGACAGCTGGAGGCCACGACGCCTCGACTCACCAGGCTGCAAAGGCCTCCAGCCCCGCCTTGGTCCCGAGCCCCCTCGTTCAGTCCCCTCACAAGTCCACAGACACAGTGAGCTGTTTGGAGTATGATTTTATGGGGAGCACATTTGTGTGAGGCAACAGCAGGCGCACACATGAAGAAAAGGCACAGCCCTCTGTGGACACTGGCACGCAGCACCGGGCTCCGCTGTGGCGGTCAGCAGCATTGGGTCAGGATGTCCCTGCTGAGCAGGTGCAACAGCTTGACACTGGACCAGCTTCAGGGGGCGCCAGGCTGCGGGAGAGATGACAAGTTGGGCGGTCAGTTGTGGCTCCTGCTGCCCCGACCCTGTGGTGTTGCTGCACCTAGCCAGTAAGGAGGCTGAGAGGACCTGGCAGCACCCGGTGGTCAACACTGACCACTGTAAATAAACAGAACACTGGTAAGTAAACATGCAAGGCCTGGCCCCAGAGCAGAAGTCCCGGTAAGCCAGCTCTGAGGCCGAAGCCCAGATCTGGGGAGCAGCAGCAGTAACGTGCCTGCTGATCCTTTCGACAGAGCACAGAGGGAGTGCACGCTGCAAGAGTCTCAGATACAAGGGGACGGAGGGAGGTGAACAGCCTGGCAGAGCAGGTGAGAAATGCTGAAGAGGGGAGGCGATCAAGTGGCAAACAGAACCTGCACCCCAGCTCAGTAGCACACAGTGAGCGTAGGTGGATGAAACCTGGGCACAGAGATGACTGCCGGAAAGTGAGCGAGCCCTGGCCCTGCGCTCCACAGCCCCTCTCTCCTGGCCCACGCTCACTCTGCAGGGACGTTTCTTTTCCTACCTTTAATGTAAAACCTTGCCAAAAACAAACCAAAAGAGGTAAGGCCTCAGGTCACAGCCAGCGCTGGCACTGTGACATGATGATCTGCAGGTGCAGGCAGCCACTTAGCAGTGCTCAGCCTCAGGCGGAAACCAAGCGGAAAAGGAAAACCAAAGCTTTCAGCAGGAAACAGAATCCCCTATCTATAGAGCCTCCCTAAAAGACAGCAAAACCGCCGAGGGAGGCTAGGGAGTCTGTGTTCTGTGCACAGGATGGAAAGGCACGTGGAGAAGCTTCCACAGTGCACAGCAGGCAGGAGCTCTGGTGGGCACCAAGGAGGGGCCAAGACTCCCACTGACAAAAAGGACAGAGGACAGTGCTTAGAGCACCATGGCATCAGAGACACAGGCTCCGGAGATGGCAGCTGCACGGGGGGTCTACAGGGTGTGAGGATGGGGCCTCCATTCGACAGGTACAGGAGGTGCCCAATGAGGGAGACGGGCAGGAGATTCTGTATGAGGGGACACCTGGCACTGCTGCAGCAGGAGGCCCGTGCTGGGTTGGGCACAGAGGACAACAGGCTCACTCACACCGTGGCACACAAGGGACAGTCCGGGTCACATGCCCATGGACCAGGCAGGTGTGAGTTATTCCCCGATAAAGCACACTATGTAATGGTTTATATCTAGATGCCCCCTACAAAGCCTGTGCGCTCATAGGCCAGCTTTTGGGAGGTGACTGGATCATGGGGTGTGATATTCATCACTGGATTAGTCCACTGATGAGTTTATGGCCAACTGTGATGCTGAGAGGTGAAGCCTGGTGGAGGAGATGAGTCATGGGGGTGTGGTCTGGAAGAGTCTGTCTCCTTTCTCCTCCCTTGGTCCCTCGCTGCTTCCTGCTGCCCTGCCATTGGCTGTTTCTCTTCTGCTTTGGGGCCAGCTGACTGTGGACTGACGCCTCTACAAACTGTGAGCCAAAACACTTCTCCTTAGATGTTCAAGTACAGTGTCCTAGTGACAAAGTAACTAAGACACTGTGTCTAAAGACATACTGCCGGCCAACGTGAGTAGAAGATGAAGGGCCCACGACGTTCAAGGGAGCGGGGGGGCACAGGCATTACCTTGGGGACCAGCTGGGGTCTGGGCACAGCGAGGAGGTCACACAAGCGATTCCGCTGCCCCCTGACGACTGGGAGCTCAGCATCCCTGCACAGAGGAGGAAGCTGTTAGCCCTTGCACCATGGGCCTGTGTACGCAGCTGCACAGCTCGTGGACCTCAGGTGAGGGAAGCTTGGAGACACTCCACCCGGAAACAGGTGCTGGGTGAGCCCTGGACAGGACAGGAGGGGCTGGCACTACCCACTTGAAGCCAAAGAGTTGAGAAGCAAGGGCTTCCCAAGTTGTAGTTCAATTCAGTTATTTATTGTTTCATTAAAACCAAAAGTTTAGCAATGCTGTGGCAAAAATTGAGCAAGTTTTTTTCTGATAGCTGTTGTTAAATTCTCTGAAACTTTTAAACAGAAAACAAGCTAAGTTAATGTATCCAGTCACTCCTCTTCTTTTTGTCCTGGCTCAATGTTTTTAAAAAACTGGAAACAACTGCTAACTCATGCGGTGGCTCACCTGCCCAGATGGCAAAGGTGGCAAGTTGGGCTGCTGAGGAGCAGAGGCGCCCACAGCCTCAGACAGCAGGCCTCAGGGAAGCCCTGTCGCCAGGGCCAGGACAGAGGAGTGAACACCCCCTGCACCCTTAGTGGCTCCACAGCACTGCAGCCCCGCCCACTGAACCCGGATCAACAGAGCTGCACCTGTGTCTGGGGGGTGGGGCAGGGCCCAGCGCCCCACACGCTGCCCTGGCTCCTGTTGCCAATGCAAGGGTGATACTGGTGCCCATGGAGGAAAGCATGTGTGTACGCAAGTGCGTACGTGGATCCTGTTGGCATGTGCACCTGTGTATGCGAGTGTACACGTGCGTATGGTGCCTGTATCCCAGCCTCACACAGTGAGGCAGCAAGATGGTCACTGTCACTTTCCTGCTGTTCCCACGCCCTCAGCCCAGGACACTTTGAAGCTGCACTGCAGGCCAACTTCCCTGCGTGGCTGAGGGGTGGTACTGGGGTCATGTGCCTGGCTCAACCCGCGCCCCTGGCTCCATGCTGTGTCCTCACGGGCCGACTCCATGAGAGCTGGGAGAGGCAGTTCGGGCGGCCTCACTGGTGAAGCTGCAGCTGCATGGCTGGGGCTGCTGTCACTAGACAGGATCAGCCACTTCCCTGACTTCTGACACCTGACATCACTGTGGGTCAGGCAGTCACCAGCACCCAGCAGTGCCCAGATGTGAGAGTTTCGGAATGGGGGGCCACCCACCTTCAGGATCCAGGCTGCCCATCCCACACTTTCCAAGGAGCCGCGCCTAGAGAAAACTTTCCCACCTAAAGCCCCAGCCCCGCTGGTCCTCAGGTCAGGCAGTGAAGGGCAGAGCTAAGCCAGCTAGGGTTGAAGTGTACCCCCTCTTCCCTCAGAGGTCTAGGGAGCCCAACAGACTCAGCAGGAGGCAGGCAGCTGCTCAGGTCCCCACTCACCAGGCTGTGTCACTGAGCACAGCCACAACCTCGTCCAGGACACTGGCGCTCAGCACGTTGCTGTAGGTGAGCACCATCTCATACACCTGGCTCGCCGTGGACTTCCGGATCTGGGCAAGGACAGTGTGTCAGTGGATGAAACTGCACAGTCAGGGAGCCCTGGGTCCTGTGATGACCCCTAAGAGGGCACAGCTGACCTCAGACACCAAGCAGAAGAGACCTGGCCTCTGCAGGGCACAGGTCAGGAAAAGAGGGCTTCATGGGGGCCTCGGGATGTCATGTCACTGTTGGGAAACGGCCACTGCTTTTCAAGCTGCTTCCCCCACCCCCAGGAATCCATATTCCTGGTGGCTCAGGAAAGCTGACTGGGGGGGTCTGCAGGGGGGCGGTGTCAGCCACCCACTGAGAGCCACTGTATTTTGAGAGTCACTCTCACCTTAGAAAAGGTCACCCTGGGGCCATGTAGTTCTCAGAGCCAGAGGGAAAGGGAGGTCCTGGCAGTCTCACCTGGACAGAAGCTGGGCTCAGGTGCAGGGCACTGCCCCTCAGTGGGACGAGCCCAAAGCCCCTTAGAACTGTTCTGGGCTCCGGAAGCTAGCCTGAATGAAACCTTGGCCACACCTCCCCACCCAGAGCCTCTGTCCATGCCTGCGATGCACCCACAGCACACCATCCACTCCAGCAGCTTCCCAGCCTGCTGTGAGTCACAGCTGGGCGCACCATCTTTAGATGCAGTACACAGGCCAACACTTACCACGGGGAACGGATGGCAGAGGAGCAGCATTAGCTGCAAAAGCACCTTCCTTCTCACATCGCCGCAGAACTGCACCATCCCACAGAGACTGCAGAGGACAAGCCAGGGGAACATAAGGCCAGGCAGGCCAAGTCCAGGGTTCCCAAGACCATTGGCAAAGTCAAGGCACACAGACACCAGGCAGGCACAGAATAGGATTCAGGGTGTGAGGACACCTCAGAGAGCCCAGCGACCACCTGCCCGCCTGTGAGGTTCCCCTATCTGCGATATCCCCTAGCCTCGGGGACCTGTGGTGCAGTTGAGGTGTTTGGCCAGTGGCCTCACCTTTCTTTAGGACTACTGCAGACAGACATGAAACCCAGGCACTTAAAGTGCTACATGATTGGCACCACCTACAGCTGCCATGCAAAGCTGCCGAGCCCTCCTGTGCAGTCCCTGCCAGGCCACTTAACACTCACACTGCAATGCTGGACCGAAGTTTCTGGACGTCTTTCGACTTCTTAATCTCTTCCTTACAGAGTGCAAGCAACTTCACACAGAAGGGGTGGCTGAAAGGAGAAAACAGTGTTCTAGAGCGCAGCTTCCAGGAGAGCACATGGCAGCAGTGACATAAGCGATCCGACGGCCCATTCCCAGGCACACTGAGCAGGAGACAGAGACTGGCTCCCTGATTCCCTGGCAGGTACTGCGAAGAACAAATGCCTATCTCACCCAAAACCACAGCTGCCCACAATTTTCCCCAACACTACACAGGCTGGCCCTGGCACAGTCACAGTGCCCCAGTTACAGATCCCCAACAAAGCCTGACAATGTCACAGCTCTGAGCAGAGGCGCACAAAGGCCCTGGCTGGAGCATGAGGACACCCTCGTCCTGCCCAGGCTGACCACCCACACCTGCCCCAGGAGCCTTGAGCTAGCTGCAGCATTCCAGGGCTGGCCTGGGACAACGTGGCTGTCCTGGGCCCAGGTGGCAGGTGGAGGTGACCTCGAGCCCAGGTCCCCACTGCCACTCATGTGGGACCCTCCTGACCTGGCTCCCTCCAATCGTCGTGCTGCTAAGGGCTACGGTCACTCTGGTCCCAAGCCCACAAGAGGGCACAGCCATCCATAGCCCCCCTTGGGTGCAAGCTCGGTTTCCCCCTGCTCTGGTTCCTGGCCATGCATGCCCCAAAGCTCTGTCAGGATCTTCAAGGCCTACACTGCAGTCATCTCCGTCCAGACCAGCACCCACTGAGCCTAGCACCATGAGTCCATCTGACAGGGGTCCCAGCCTGTGTCTTAGCCACTGCAGAGGCCCCAGCTATACCCTGTTCTCTCTCTCTGGGGGCCACAGCCATGCAGAAAGAGCGCGTCTGGCCTGCCACATCTCACAGCAGCATCCAAAAGAGCCAGTGGTCACTCAGCCCCTCTACCACCAGCCCAGCCCCAGGGCTCCCCTTTTCCCTAGACCCCAGTGGGGATTCATGCAACAGCAGCAGTAGCAGCAGGCTCTACTGCCACCAGGCTCTAGGGGCGAGCAGACGCCTCCTGGGGCTGGAGCTGCACTGGAGGCAGGAACTCCACGGGTGGTGGAACCAAGGCCTGATCTGTCCACTCCCAGGGCCAACACATCTAAAGGTGCTGTCAAAGAGGTGGGGAAGGATGCCCTTGCCTTCCCCGAAGGGCTGCAGCCGCGCACCACGAGACACAGTCCTTACCCAGGCCTCGCCTCATGCAGACGTGCAGCTCTGCACATGTGTCCCAGGTGCACACCACGCACAGGGCATGGGGGGCCTGCACAGGAGGTGTAAACATGCACACCAAAACCAAGGACTCTACAGGTGAGCTCTGCAGGGGTTCAAAAAGTGTCTTGAAAGAGTCAGCAGCTGGAAGGCAGGTGAGGGGTAATGCAAGAGAAAGACAGCTCTGAGACGCAGAGCTGAAGACAGTGCCATAACTGAGGATCCGAGCACAGAGGCTTTGGTGGGACCCAGGGTGAGAGCACGGGACACACAGCACACAGGGGCAGGAAAGCACCTAGAATTCTATGCCTTGGATGAACCACAAGAGCACTGCAGAGCATTCTCTGGGAGAGGGACACAAGACAAGGGCCTGAAGTGCAGCAAGTAATGAGAGAGACCAAGCTGCAGATGGAGACTATTCCAAAGATGCTGACTTCACAATGAATGGAAGTAAGCCAGACACACGTGCCATCCTCACTGTGTGGATGCCGTGACATAATCCATCCTAAGAAGGATCAAATACTGGAAATTAGACTTTGGTATAGTTTCTAGGACAATCAAAAACAGAAAAAAAGAGAACAGAAAAAAGCACAAAGTCCTCCAAAAAGAAATGAGGAAAATGGAATGAGAAAAATGATTCGGATAATCAAAGTGATGGCAAGAGATGGAGGTGTGGGAAATACAAAACCAAGGGAAATATCTTTCTGTGGCAGATTCAGCTGCCAGGCACAGAGGGGCACACCTGTGATCCCAGCTACTTGAGAGGCTGAGCCTGGAAGATTGCAAAGCCAAGGCCAGCCTGGGCTACACAGCCAGACCCTGTCTCAAAAAAATAAAAACTTGAAAGCAAGAATAAATGAAATAAAGGACACAGTTAAAAGATAAAGATAATGAGGTTGAACTTTTACAAAACTACAGAGTATTAATGGCGGATAGTCAAAAAACAAAATACAGTGGTGCTCAGTTCTCTCCACAAGTCTGGTCGCAAACCAAACTGGACAAGAACCAAATCAAATTTCCCCATAAGGTCAACATTGTCCTTAACGACTGAATTTGATTTGGTTCTCCTCCAACTTGGTTTGTGACTCGAATCATGAAACGCATCAAGTTCATAAACCAAGGTGCCACGAGCTTGATTCTCGGTACCTGAGTACACAAGCTTGATTCTTTCCATGACTCTAGAAAAGACCATCACATTCATGTTCATGTGGGAAAAATGGCCTTGGGTATGTTTGTCACCCAATGCAGAGTTTGAAACAGAACAATTTCCCAAATGTTTCTGTTTGCAAACAAAAGTATTCATGAACTGAGATACCACTGTACAGTATATGAAATACTGAAAGTCAAAAAATGTAAGTTCAAAATCACCAGAAGCAACACAAGACAAAGAGTGTAAGCAAAAAGCACTTCTAGAAATGGAAAGGGTCATTTGATCCTGAGTCAACCCTGACCTCATATGTGCCAAAAATACAGCCTAAAAATTCATAGAGCAAAAATTGACAAACTATAAAAAGAATTTTTTAAAAAGCTCTATCATAGCAAGAGAGATTTCCCCACCGTCTTACATCTTATTCTGAAATACATGAAGACTTGAATGGAACGCTCGCAGACCGAACACGCAGCATGCACGCAGTGACAGCACACCTCGCTGGGTGTGGCTGCCAGCACAGTTCTCGCAAGGCAGACGGAGCCGTAGCGATGTGCTAGCACTAGTTAAAATGAGTAACTTCAAGGTTAAGATTAAAAAGTTACCCACAGCAAAGCTGAAGAGCCACCCTCCTGCCTGACATAGTTAAGAACTCAGCAGGACTCAGGAGACAAAGGCGGTGGGGGAAGCAGTAAGGCGGCCAAGCCCAGGTGCCCCGAGGTGCAGTATGCAAGGCTGTGGGCAGAGAGAGAGGTGAGGGACAGCAAGGCTGCCCCATGGCCAGGGAATGCACCCCACAGAGAGGACAGGAAAGCCCACCTGTTCCCCAGTGGGAAGAAAGCTCGGAAAGAAAACATCAAAAGCAGAGACCTTGGCAGTGGGAGAAAGTCAACTTGAGACCCAGCTCTGGGTCCCCCAAGAGTTAAAAGCAGTATGGGAAAGGTCAGACTCTTCCCAGGGACTTCGGTCCCCCAAATGCAGGACGATCAGCCCCACAAGGCAAAAGAAAAGCCAGCAGGCATTCAAAGCAGCAAGGGAACAGCCGCAACAGGATCACCTGCTCACCAAGCCAGCCCAGCACCCTGACAGTATCACGTGTGGAGGAGACTACCCACACGGAAGACAGACACACAGAGGCACAGGTCTTGTCTGTCCATGGCGGGCACAGGGTGCTCCAGCCCCTGCCGTCCTGCCCACAAAGCTGGCCAGGCCCTTCCCACAGCTCAGGCTCCAGAGCAGCTGTGGTGAATGGCCCCAGCCAACAGACACCTCACCTCTCAGGCAGCCCCAGGCACCCAGGCTGCCGTGTGTAACCTTGAGCCTGAGCACCCTGAAAGGGTGTTCTGGGTTCTGAGCCCCAGCTCTGAGTGTTGTTTCTTTAAAGTGTGGGCTACTTGGGCTGAACCCAGTGGGGCAGGGGGGCAGGCCTCACTTCTCCTCCCTGGTGAAAATGTCGAAGCACCCATTAGCCAGCATCTGATCCAGCATCTTCAGCAATGATACGGATACCCTGCGGGGAGAAAACGCACATGAGACTCCGAGCCATCTTCCAGGGTGCACAGGGACGTGGGAAGGGGCAGGCAGACACGGACAGGTTCCACACAAGGTGGCCAAGAAGGCCTCCAGGTCACTGCCTACAGCAGGGAGCATCCCAAGCCCAGAGGCCACGGCCAGCCAGTTCTCGCAACGACTTCCATTCTTGGGAGTGCCAAGCTCGCTCACTCAGGGGCCCTGGGAGTCTTCCTGCAACCAGGATTCGGCTGCATGCGCCTAGCATGTGGCTCAGGGTATGAAGATGGCCCAAGGGCAGGGCAGGAGAGGAAAAACCAGAGTAGGCACAACCCAGCAGCCCACGGTGGGCAAACCGAGCCTCACGCTCCCTGCTGCCGGGATGAACACGGGCCACTGCTCCCTGGACGCCCCCCCGCCCCCGAGACAGGACAGTGACAGCCCTGTACACCATCCCTCCCAACCCACCTGTGGAAATGCCACTTGCCTGTCGTTCCGGAGGTTGTCCTCAAAAACTTGCAGGAGGGTCCCACTGAAACTGCCCAGTGCCTGGGGGTCCTGCTGAATGCCCTTCATGTACTCGAAGAGACTCTGGGTAGAGTGTTTGACCTGTAATGCCAAGGCAGCCACAAGTTCATGTCTGCTGAGCACAGGGAGGGGGCTACAATGTCCAGAGTGACAGTACGTACACAGGTCACCCACGGTGAGCATACTGGAACACAACCCTCGGACAGTGGCACCCAGTCAGAGCCCAGTGTACCCATGCTCATGCCACGACATGGTGACTGGGGCCACTGGGTATTACCAGCACCAGCACTGAGAGAGCCACAGCTCAGCCCCAGAACCTAGACATACCCAGGCCCCCATGTGGGATCAGACACACAACCAGGACTGGACCCGAACAGAGCAGAACAGTCCTGAAAGGAGACCACATGGCCTGCCCGCTAGCTGAGCTCCATCATGGGGAGCGGAAGGAGGGGGTGGGTCAGCCCTGGCAGAGTGGTGAGGGCTGGACTGGACTTGGGGACGTGTCGAACCCACCCAGGAAGTGGAGACACACAGAGCAGACAGAGGGGGCAGCAGGGGACCCCAAGAGTAAGAGACAGTAAGGCCCCAGGCAAGCCACCCGAGTGTGAAGTTCTTGTCTGGAGAGCACAGAGCTCCTGTGGGTAGCACAACAGCCCAGAGGAAGCAGCTGTGTGTGTCCCAGGGCAGGCGGGATTGCCACACGGCCACGCAGGTAGCAAGAGCACCCTCTGCGCCCTGACACACTTCACCTTCCTCAGAGGATGAGTTTAAGTCAATCGTTCCTCATCAGCAGGATGAGCAGCTAAAAGCACAACAGAAGTATCACTTGCAGATACCAAAGCTCCCATCAAAGCAGCACACTCAGTCCAGACGTGTGTGCCTTGGGTTTCAGGCAGCTCCTTCCTGGCATGGCCCCCAAAGGCCCCAAAACATCAGCTATACTCATGGCAGAGCTGCCAGTGGGGCCTGGGAACTGACAGAGACTGAGCAGCTGCCACTCAGAATGCTGGCTCCACCCAAGCAAGTTTTGGCCATGCCGCTGTCCTCCAGAATGTGCACATGGAGCCCAGGTCACTCAGGCTCCCTGACCACAGGTGAGGAGCTGGACCCACGCCAAGGACCACATGAGAACGAGGCAGAGGGAAAGAGGGGCCCACAGAGACAGCACACAGGCCAACAGAAGAGACACTGCTGTGCCCTCACAGGCCCAGCCCTGGCCCCAGGAAGGAGGAGCCGCCCTGTACCCTGTCCCTGCCCAGCCAGGGGCCTCCTCACCGTGGACTCGGTCAGGCCACCCACAGACACGGCCAGCCCCAGCAGCACATGGTAGCGGTAGGTGGGCAGCCCCAGGAGCTGGGTGATGCGCGGGAAGGCCTGGGAAGGTGCGTTCCAGTTCACAGTGGCCACTTCAGACCTGCAAGAGAGCAGGTTCCTCACGTAGGTGACCGTGTGTGTGTGTGTGTGTGTGTGTGTGTGTGAGAGAGAGAGAGAGAGAGAGGAGCCTCTGCGCAACAGTACCTGGGAAGCAGTGCCTCTAGTTCCTTGCGGTGGGGCACGTGGGGCACAGGCGGGCCATCGAAGTGCAGAAGTGTCAGGAACACGCAGGCAGCATGGGCACGGAACCGGTCAATTTTCTCACTTGCCTGCTGGGCCACGCAGCACATGACTTGCTCACAGCTGAAAATCAGGGCAGCACTGTCAGTCCACAGCATATAGGCCACCTGAGTCGTTTAGTATGTGCAGCCGTTACAGGCACCTCACACAGGGCAGTGGAGCCCAAAACTACAGTTCACAGACCTACCCAGCCTGTCACCCTCTGATCCCTGCCACCTTCTCCTGGAACCACACAGCAGTGCACCAACACTGACCAGGTCTCAGGGAGGAAGAGTGACAAAAACAATGACAGGCAGGTGGCAGACGAGGAGGCTGGGACAAGGAAGAACTGGGGCTGAGAAAGGAAGTGGTCATGAAGAGAGACAGGTCAGGCAAATGACCACAGCCAGGAGGCTGTATCTCCACAGAGCAGCTCCACTGATGGCAGAGTCCAAGGCCTTGGCAAGGTGGCACAGCAGGGTAAGAGACCCACCACAAGGAACCCCAGGTCACTGAGAAAGTGATGACAGCTGTTCATCAGGAGAGGCTGCAGCATGGACCCGAGCCCAGCAGAACCCTGGTCTTGCTCACTAAGTTGGCTGTCCCAATACTGGGCTGGGGAAAGCTGGGAGCCTCACCCTGGGGGTACCAAGTAGAAGGAGGACTGTTCACAACCAAGGGCTGTGGGAGTGAAGGGGGCCAACAGGATGGACTGGGAGGAGGTGTGGCCCTGCAGGTCACGCCAGCTGGCCTTTGTGACACTCACATGTGGGCCTCAATCAGTGCGGGCTCTGTCCGCGCCAGCAGCAATGTCAGGTCCATCAGGCTGGTCATGGCGGCCTCGCGGACCCTGCAGGACAAGAAGATGCAAGCAGCTCAGTGTGTGGCAGGGATTCGGGCTCCAGGCCTGCCACCCACCCAGGCCCAGCGAGCACAGGCTCTACAGACAGCCACACAGGCTCTTCCCTGGGAAAGAAGGTCCATGGACCACTGAAGAATAGAAACACGCATGGGAGCCCCACGGGCCACACTCAGGTCAGGTTCTGAGAGACCAAGACACAGGGCAAACTTCGGAGCTTAAGGGACCCTGCTGCTCCCTGCGAAAGGTAGGGAAACCCACCATGGCACCGCAGCCCCTAGCAATGGGCAGTGTGCCCCTCACCCATCAGCAGGCAGACTCGAGTGAGGCAGGAGTGGGCAACCCCAGCAAAGCCTGCAACTGACACACACAGCAGCCCCGGCCCCCACAAGAACCCCACAGACACATGCACATCAGCTGCTACTGAGCACCACACCCTTCCCACACACCAGGACCTGCTCTCTAGGCAGATACCACCTTTAGCTTAGGTTAAAGAAGCAAAGTATGTGAAATCTGAAACGGGGCCAGCACATGCAGGTCTCACCCTGGAGCAAAAGCAGCCCTTTAGGTTTGGAAACAGGTGCTATCCCTGTGTTGAGGACAAGGAGGCATAAAGCGCCAGTAGAAGGGCCCTGCCTCACCCAAACCCAGGACAGGGCCTGTCCCAGGTTCCTATTGCGAGGACCAGGGTCATCCAAGGGGGTCCCAGACACAGGCTGACCTCAGAACCACACCTATGGTCAGACACGGGTGAGCCGACAGCCTGCTCCATGGACAGACTTCAAGACGACAGAGTAGAAGAGTCTAGCCCCAGGGGTGGGCACAGTTGTGGGCCTTGCAGCTCAGGGAATACCGAGCAGCACCACATTCCACTTACTCCAGAGGACTCCCCAGTAATTACTAGGGGCATTCGCCTTTAATGCGTGCTGGGGGAAAAGGGGCCAGATATACCTGCAGGGGAACTGGTGGGGTGGCTGCAGAATATGCCAGGGTGAGTGGGGGGTGGCCCAGACAAATGCCAGTGGGTGTGGGGGAAGCCTGGGAAGCACATGGGGCAAGGGTGCAGAGGACACAGGGGGGTGGTGTCTATCCGCAAAGTGTGCTGGGAACACGGCGGTGGGTATTGCACACATCTCCTTCCTTGCTATGCGCCAACTCCTGAGCTGTGAGGCAGGGGAGGCTGTGGGTAGCGACGTGTTTGTGATGGGTGCGAGCAGGAGGAAGCACTGCGTCTGAGTCCTGAGTCCCAGCTGGCCCCACAGGAACTGGGAAAGGCCACACCCCAGAAGTCAGACACCCCGTATGGTCCCAAGGCTCACCCCAGGACAAGGCCAAACCTTGTGATCATGAGCCGAAGCCCAACGCAGCATCAGCTGATGGAGAAAACCACCCAACTCAAGCCCCACAACTTAACTCACAGAATGTGATTAAAAGTTACACAGGATACTCAAAAATAATAAATACAAATAAAAAACAGTAAAAGAGGACCCACAAATGACACGGACATTACAATAACGTACAGAGTGCTTTAAACAACCATCTTTAAGGAAAGGAATATGTTGAAGGAAAAAAAGATGAAAAAATGGAGGAAAGTAAATGAAAAATGGAGAATTTCTGAAAGAATTGAATCTAAAAAGAGACCAAACACTAAAACATACAACACTGGAAGCTGAGCACTCACTGAAGGGCCCCGTACTGCACAGAGGTGCCTCGTGGAGCCACCACTGACCCACAGAAGGAACCACTTGCGGGAGGCTAGGGCAGCACTGGCCAGCACCCACCTGCCCTTTGTGCTCTGCTTAATGGCAGCAGCAGCAGCCACACCCCAACAGCAAAGCCCACCACTTCCCCGGCACAAACTGAGGACGATCACTGGTCATTCAGGTCTCCAGGAACAGAGGGCTCACAGAGAAACCACGTGAGCTCTGCATGGACCTGTGCCATCTGCCGTGGGCCAGAGCCACGGCTGCAGCGGGCAGAGCTCATGCTCTGTATCCAGCAGGCGAGCAGAGTCTCCACCAAGAACATGGAAAACAGAACACAGGGAGAACAGGACCGCAGACCCTCCTCATGGGAAGACACCACGCACAGGCCGCCCCTGACAAGGTGGAGACTGTTGTCCAGGGACAAGGAGATTCTGGGGCCAGGCTGAAGGAGGCAGCTGCTCATGCAAGGAAAGGCTGAAGGCCAGGCCAGACAGCAGCCCGGGGTGACACCCCGCCACAGGGTCCACGGCCACATGGCAGGTCTGCCCCCACTCCTGCCAGCCTGGGAGGACCTGGGGCTCTGAGGAGGCAGGGCAGCCACACAAAGGCAGCCCTTTTGTGCACACAAGCCGGTCCACTCACTCCACCCTCCCCAAACGAACCTGTGGCCCCCAGGGCTGGCAAGCAGCACCTCCACGATGGAGGCGGGAGAGGCGCTCACCATGGCAGTGGAAGCCTGGGCAAGGGGGATGCTCTAATGGGAACCTAGCGGATGGTAAAGACAAAGTGAAATTGAAAACTGTACAAGACCTCAATAGCAGAAAGGAAGAACCAGTACCCTAAACGTAGATCAACAGAATCTACTCAACAAAAGATGAGGGAAAAAAAAATTCAAAACACAGCTTCAGGACTCCAGCTGGGCCTGGTAGCAATCCCAGCACTCGGGAGGGTGAAGCAGGAGGATCGTTGCAAGCTGGAGACCAGCCTGGGCTACAAAGTGAGCTCAAGGCCAGCCTGAACTACATAGCGAGACCCTGCCTCAAAAAAAAAAAGGACTGACACATGGCAACCTTGAGGTGTCCAGAGTGGGAGGGGCTACCAGTCAGGCATCCAGCCCTGGAGGAAGAGGGGTCACATGTGCAAGACAGGAGGAGGGGCGAGGTAAGAGGCTGTGTGCAGGGTGGGTAGAGAAGGCAAATGGTCAGGCATCCAGGACGAGGCGAGGAGGTGAACAGTCAGGTCTAGGACGGCAGAAGAGAGGGCAACTGGTCAGGTGCCCTGGCCTGGAGGGGAGGGGGCAACTGGCTAGACATCCAGGACAGGAGGACAGGAGGATGAGGGGACAGAAAGAAAGGAATCCCAGACATCCCAAATGTCGGCGGGCAGCCTCACTCCTTCCTTTTGAGCTCAGGTCACCAGCAGCCAGCTTCTGTCCAAACCTAACAAAACACTCTCCAACTCACAGTCCACGTCCTGCCATCCCCAAGAGCGTGAGCAGGAAACACTGAACAGAGCCCCTCCTGGCCGCTCCTGCTCACTCAACAGGCTCAGGCAGCAAGAAGACAACCCCACACGGTAAGAGAAACTTGGGGACCCCAGGCTGAGAGCACCTCAGGGCTATGAGATGGACAAGAGCACAGAGCATAGATTATGGCTCAGGATCCTTCAGAACAAACAGGCCTACGACGGGTCCCCTGTCATGTAGGTCCTGGCTCCAGGCAGAGGCCAAGATGAGGAGTAGTTGAGCCTGGACCCTGGCTCTACACACCAATTCTTCCTGAGAGCCCATACACCCTTCCCAGGATGTCCTGCTTCCACTCCTCCCAGGCTTTGTTAGAGACAGGCACTACTGCACAGTAGCACAGGAGCCCCAGCTTTGACTTCCCCTCAGGACTCACAATCCCAGGCTCTGCAGGTTTCTCTCGCCTCGGTAGAGCACAGCAGCCACGAGTGACAGGAGCAGGAGGCCCCAAGGGCACTGCAGCCCTGAGGAGGATGGGAAGACAGGTCCAGCAGAGGGGACAAGGGGAGGACCTTGCCCTTGGACCGTCTGTCCCTTGACATTTGTGCCTAATGCTGGTGTCACAGCATGAAGCCCCACCTCGCGTCTCAAGGATGCTCAGTGCAGAGACCACAACTATAAACGTCACCCTTACCAGGCCCCCACGTCACCCCTGCTGTCTGTGGTGTAGTCTCCCATGCAGCCCAGCAGCGTGGTGTACACCTGGGCAACATTCTGTCTGCACACGGCTTCGTCTGGGGCCGCCTCCGCCTTCACACCCACAGTCTGGCAGATTCTGAAATGGAAATGTGCAAATGCAAACCTCCACACTGGAGCCCGACCTTCAGGCCATAGTGGCCTGGCACAGCTTCCTGAGAAGAGCTCAGCACAGACCAGGCCTCCCTGCAGCAGGGGCGAGACAGCGCTTGGCTCCCAGGTCACATCCCAGACTCCACTGCCCTCTCAGCCTTGAGCTGACAATGGGGTTAATGCCGGGGAGGCAGCAGGAGAAGGATGCATGGTCCTCCACACACAAGGCGCAGGGACTGCTTCCTCTTCGCCAGCCTCCAGGGACCTGCACCATCATCTATTATTATTATTATTGACACATTAGCATTGTCATTACTAGTGCTGGGGTGACCCCTGAGCCTGAGTTGAGCTGCACCTGAGCCCCAACCACACACTGCATGATAGTGAGATGAAGCTTCACAGTCCTCCAAAATTTTCAAAGCAGTTCCTGCATGGAGATGCAGCCACTCCACAGGTTTAATGTTCATCATAACAGGGCACCAAGCTGGAAATGTTCCCTACAATCCTCTGACTGGGCAGGAGGGCCAGGAGCAGAGGGTCTGGGAACAGGTGGGGCCTCCTGGCGCACTCACCTCGCGATGGCCCTCAAGCTGTCCCTCCTGGCCTCAGCGAAGCCCACGTCCTTCAAGGAGATGCGGGTGACTGCACTCAGACCGTCCAGGACCTGAGGTGACAGAAAGAAGTGCATCAGCTACTGAGGGAACATGACTCAGCAGAGGTGCGGCCCTGGGGCGGGACACAGCAGGGGCCAGGACTCTATGGGCAGCTCAAGGTGTGGTGTAGTGCAGAAGGGCACTCAGCCTTCCCTACTGCCCAGCCCAGCCCCAATCTCACACATCCCAGCAGACTCCTGCACCCAAGGCTCAGCCCAGGCAGGAGCAGACGGGGCTACCGATCGGTCTGAGCCACACCAGCAGCCATCACCATTCCATTTGCTTTTCATCCATGTAAGCAACATCTCTAAGGCCAGCTGCATGATGTTGGCCTTTCAGAGGGACACAGGGTGGGAGCTCAGGCAAGCAGCACCATACAGCCCTTCCTTCCCACCTGAGAAGGGAGCCCAGGTCACAGAGAACAGTGTGGCAGAGCTCACTCCCACAGCATCCAGGCAATGAGATCAGTGTGGCTAAGCCTGGTGCTTCCACTGGGAGAGGAAAGTACAAGTGTTTTTGGGACCAAGGCTGATAGGACAGGAGGGACACAGCTTTCCAAGGCCCCTGGACATGCCTCATCCCTTAGACACTCCTGGGCGCAGAGAACTAAGCTAGGTGTCAAGACAAGCATGTGGAACCAGACAGGAAATGGCCCAGGACAGGCCCACTCACAAGGAAGGTTAGGAAAGGGTTGCTGCAAGAAGCAGATGAGGCCAGCATGAGCAGTGGTGTCCGTATGGTGTGTGTGTGTGTGTGTGTGTGTGTGACCTGAGCGCCCTCTGGTACATCAGCTTCAACCTTGCTGTTCAATGGTAGACTGCGGTGGAGAAAACAGCACCTGGCTCCGCCAGATTACAGGGACTGGGCGTGGTGCCCAGTGAACCCTCGAAGTCTGAGGACCCTGCCTGGCACACACATTTTACCCAGCATTCTGCCCCCATGGCTGCATCCCCCAGGCTGCCAGCACGGGCAATGTGCTATCACCAAGGCCGAGCAGCAACTGCCAGCTTCGCCCCTCCTGCGCTGCAGCACAGGGCTCCAGTCAGTCCCCCGGGAGTGGCCTGGCTGCACATCGGAGAGCAGGCCAGCTACCACTCCCCTCTCTGCCTTCCACAGACACCATGCACACCTGGCAAGTCCCCTAGCCACAGGCTGCCATGCCCCACCATCCTCACCTGACGCAGCCGGCCTTGAAGGAGGAAGCCGGGCAGGGAACCCAGGGCCGATGCAAAGCCGCAGCGAACCATCTCCTCAGGGCTCTGGAGCTCGACAAGGTACCTTGGGATGAGCACCTCTACAGACAGGGAGTAGATGTGAGGGAGGGACCTGTGCTCTCAGCCAGAGCCGGACACACAAGCAGGACAGTGCCCAGGGAGGATGGCAGTGCTTTTGGCTTCTGAAGCAGACACACTTTCAAGATGACATACACCAAAACATGTACCAAGGAACTTTTACAAGGCGTGTTAAAGTTTTTGTGAAGTTTTAGCCACTGTTTTCTTCTTGGGAAAATGAACAAAAGGTTCCCTGGCTGGGTAGAGCAGCTACTTCACGCTGACCCTGAGGAATGTGGGACAGGGACACAGGCATAGGCCAGGGTGGGCCAGAAAGAGGGCTGAGCAGTGAGCCAGCAGTGACAGTAGAGGCAAGGACAGGGCAGCTCCGCAAGGAAAGGCCCGTGGTGAGCAACAATAGGCCAGAAAGAGGACCAGCAACCGTGGGCATGGGACTCAGGGCCAGTGAGGGAGGACCCCAAGAGGAGCAAGCCATGGACTCTTCCCGACAAACGCAGGTCAGAGAGGTATAGGGAGGCCAGCGTCCCGCAGGGATCCCACCTTCGAGAAACCTGGATACCCTGCACCGCCACTCAGCTGCACAAGAAGGCTCCCATGAGGCACGCAGGCACCCAGGAGTTTGCCCTCTGTCCTCAGTCTTGGACTGTGCAACAGATGCTGAGTTCCACACACACCAAAGTACATTTACTCTGATCCCCAAGTGACAAAGAACTTCCTACCACCTTTAATTATTCGGGTTTCACAATCAATAGGAATTTTCAGACTATCATTTCCTTTTTTGGGGGGTACCAGGAATTGAACTCAGGGCCTTGCGCTTGCCAGACAGGCGCTCGTGCCGCTGAGCTATATCCCTGGCCCTGTATTTCTTTTATTTTCAGAAACAGTGGGGTCTTCTCTTCTTAGGAAGGGCAAAACATGATCTTACTAGTCCACTCATTTAAAAATAAGTACAAAATAAGATTATATAAAATTACCTGCCAAAAGCAATAGTGTAAAATATATTAATATATACTATGTCAGAGCTCAAATTAAAGTCCAGATTTGTATTTTTGTAGGATCACAGAAAGTAGATTCATACTACTGCACATGACTTCTTATATATTTATAATTTTAGTGTTTTGAATACTTTTGACATGATTACAATGCAAGTCCTATAATATAATAAAGAGGCATACAACAGAGCATGGAAAATGGCCAACAGAGCATGGAAATACGTTTTTTTGCTTCTACAAACAACATGGATGCCGTCCAGACATCAACTCCACATCAGCACAGGTCAGATCCGGGCTGTGCATAAATACACTGAATAGGCACACACGCTGCACACAGCACCCACACATGGAGAGAACCGATCACGCCTTCCACTCACACTCGGGAAGGGTGGAGCACGTCTACACCTGCACACAGGGGAACACTCACTCTGTTCTGGCAGGGAGGAAAGAAGAGTAACGTGCCCTGGCCCGTGCTGAGCACGGCAGCCAGGTGTCAGCAGCATGTCAAGATGGAACACAGTGGTTACTGTGTGGACAGGGCCTGCTGAGAAGGCGTACAGTGCACAGGGACGTGCCACAGACTGCCAGGGAGCAGGCAGGAGTGGGAGAAGTCAGCATGGTGACAGACTGCAGTGGCACTAAGAAGCCACCACAGGCAGAAGCGCAGAGCCAACAAATGAAATGGGGAAAGGAGGCTGAAGAAACGAGCACAAAAGAACAAGGAAAATGGTGAGGAGCTCCCAACGAGTAAAAGGAATCTCCTAAGAAGGAAACTGGAGAGAAGTTCACTTATGAAGACAGTTTATAAACGTGCAGCGTGGGATGGTACTGCTACGTTCTGGGACATCTGTCTGGCACCATGACCCACAGCGTAAGACCTCAGCAAGTGGCCTGGCCCCACAGGACCCACAGGAACACGGTGTGGCTGGCCCTCCTCCCACCCTGCCAGCACAGGGTGCCTCCAGATCAGCTCCAGCACAGCCTGGCTCATGGCCAGGTCCACTGCCCAGCTCAGCCCTCACCTCCCAGCTCCCATCCCCAGCAAGAGCCATGGCCACTCACCCTGGATGGCAGGACTGGCCTCCCGGGGCTCCTTCTGGTAGTACTCGCTGCAGACGGCAGCTAGGGCTGATACAGCTGTGTCCTAAAACAGGAGGTCATGAGTGCACAAGGCTCTGCAGTTATGCTAGAGAGATACGCAAAACCAAGTCACATTGCCTCTCTGACCTGATGCATCTGCTCAGATATGTGGGTCACAATTCTCCACACTAGCACAAGATAGAGGGCCTGGCTCTCTCCCCGACATGGCGTGAGCCCACCCTCCACCCTGGCACCCTTCTTCGTAGAAGCAGCGATACCAGATGACATGCACTGCTTAAGGGTGTGAGAGCTCACAGCTGTGCTACACATGGCACGTTCAGAGGACAGCAGTGTCCAGAGGGTGTTAGGAACAGGAGCAGATCTTGGGTGAGGAAGACAAGGCCACGCAGCGCAGGCCCCTCAGAGCCCAATTCCAAAGCCACCACAGAGCAGGCATTGCTGCGCCACGGGTGCAGGAGCTCATAGCGGCATCTCTTTGGATCCCCAACTGCACCATTCAGGGAGGACCCTGATTCTCAACTCCAGCTTCCCATGCCCACAGCCACACTCTAAAACATGGGAAGTGCAGCTTCTTCCTCCTGCCCCTCAGAGCCAGAGGCCAGGGCCACCAGAGGAGCCCTGTGGAGACTCAGTAGGCCCTTGTCCAGGGAGGCACATCACAAAGATGTCACTTGTAGTGTAAATCAATCATAGATTTTTTTTCTTTTTTTTTTGGTTTTTCTCCGGTACCAGGAACCGAACTCACAACCTTGCACTTGCCAGGCAGGCACTTTGCCGCTGAGCTAAATCCCCAACCCCAATCATAGATATTTTTAAAAAGAAAATATGAAGACACTGGTTATGAGGTACGCGAATCCAATCAGCAAGACAATACTCTGATCCTACAGGATGATAAAGTGACCTCAGGAGAAAAAAGCTGGCTTTGGTGGTATACTCTGGAGGCAAGAGGATAGATTGCAAGTTTGAGTCTACCCAGGGCAACTTAGTGAGAGACCCCTGTCTCACAATAAAAAATGGGCTGGGCAAAATTTTAAAAAGCCCTGGGTTCAATCCTTAGGACTAAAAAAAGAAAAAGAAATAAACAAAACAAGGAAGTGGAAGACACATCCGACTGGCCCAGAGATGCTGACACAGGGCATAGGACAACAGAGGACGTGCCTGTTCCTGGTGTCACCCTCTCCCGCACCAGGAACCCAACTTAATGCTATAGAAAGGGCTGAGCTCATGGCTCATGCAACCCCAGGATGGGAACACTCTCAAGGATCCTGACCCACAACTGCAGCTCTGGCCTTCACACTGAAGCCCCCGGGACGCAGACTCCACCTGAGCAGGTATTACTCTCAGCGTGAAGAGAGTATTTTAAGGTGAGTGTAACCCTAAAGCCAGAAACAACACAAGAAAAGGTAAACATTCAGGGCCCCCACAGCCACACTAGTTTCCTGGCTATGAGTTGTGTGGATAGCATCATCTTGGTGTGGTGATGGCGCTTGTTGGCTGTCTAGGTGGTGGTGGTGTGGAGGTGGGACCTGCGACGGGCATGCCCTCTGAGACACATGCCAGGAGCCACACATCACTCCCTGCACTGCGCACCCAGGGGTCTTGCCCAGCACACCTTGATCTGCTGTCTGGACTGACTTGAGACGAGGTGGAGGTTTCTCAGCGTGTCGTCTATCAGCCACTGCCAGCCGTCTATCAAGGAAATAAAGACTTTGCTTACACAACTCAGGACATCCAAATGAAACAAGCAACAGCAAACTCACCAGCTGAGGCTCACAGCGAGCTGTCAGTGGGCTTTGAGCGAATCTGAGAAAACCTGCCCAGCACCCTGCGGGCAAACCCTGCCCAGCACCCTGCGGGCAAACCCTGCCCAGCACTCTGCAGGCACCGGAGCACCAACATGGGGCCAGTTCCCAGGGCTGAGGCTGCCTTGGGGCTGGGCTGCCCATGGCAACACTGGCCCCAAACCAAGGGTCTCAGCATCAGGCTCTGGTCATTCTTTAATTACCACCGAGAGTTTCCAGTGGCCTCTTCCTTTCAGTCTCCCTCTGTCTCCTATCCCTGCCAACAGAAGCCCAAAGATTGAACTCAACTCTATCCCACAACAGAGGTGGCAACAAGTGCTCACTCTGTCCAGGTGAACAAAAGTGAGTGTCGAGACAGCGGGCAGGCAGGCCTCAGAGGAGGACAGAGGCCGTGGGCAGGTGCCAGCTCTGGTATCTGAGCCATGAAGGCCTAGCTTCCAGCACCTCATCTGTCTGCTAGCAGAGAACTGACCCCGGAGGCCCAGCCATGGGCAGCACAGCCACACAGAGCCACCACTGTGAGCACTGAGGAACATCAGGGGCTGGGGCTCCGGAAGCAGCAGGAACCTGCAGCAAGTCACAACGAGGTGTCCCACACAGCGCTCCTTCCTGCTACAGCCTTCCGCCCCACCCCAGAAACTCATTTTCTACACTGAGACTAGAAGTAGCTGTGGGGAAACTACTGCCATGGTGTCCTGGAGAACAAAGCACTTACCAATGATGGGGTCACCTTTAAAAGGCATTCTGGAGAGTGACAGGTTTTTTATCAGGATGCACACTAGGAAAAAGGGAAAATACCACATCACTGTCCCCAAAATGCCTCCCCAGCCCTGTGACTTCCCTGTGCCTGCGGCCACACAGCAGCAGCACGCTCCCTCCCCTCGGCTCACTGGCTGCCCACAGGCAACACCAGCCACTCCTTAGCTGGGCAGCTGCACCATGCTCAGCCCTGGCCAGACACAGGTGCTGGGGAGCTGGAGCGATCTATGTGCCACCAACAGCCCTGCTGTCGTGTGTCTCTGTGAGTCACAGTGCTGCCCTGGACCCAACTCAGGCCCTGGGACACGTACCTAGGAGGGCTGCACAGGTCAGGCCTCAGATAAACCAGGCCATCAGCATGGTGACAGGGGCCATGGAAAGCCACTTGCCACCACCTGCAGCTAGGCTGTCTCCAAAGATGGAAGACATGCTCCTGTCACAGGCAGCCACCAGCAACTCACAGGCGGACAGGCGGGAACTGGGGTTTGGAGGTGGTAGGCAAAGGGCACCAGGATCCGAGGTGAAGAACAGTGGGTATCTGGGGTCCAGGATGGAGGGCAGGGGACACCCAGGGTCAGGGGTAGAAAGGAGGTGGAGATCTGGGATTCCAGGCAGAGGCAGTGCCAGCCCCTTGTGTGAGGAGCACAGCAGTGAGGCAGACAACTCTAAAGCTCAGTCCCTGAGCAGCTGGGGTAAGGCATGGTGAGGCCTGACCACCTACATGTACTGTCACCAGGAATTAAAGAAGTGACTTCCATGCCTGCTGAGAAGACTGACAGGCCAGGCCAGCAAAAACTCCCGGATGCAGTCTGAAGGAGGAAGCCCTCAGGGAAGAGACTGGCCCACCTGGCAGGGAGTCTGCCCAGAGAATCCCAAAGCCACAGCCTGGAGCAGGGCTGCCCCTGACCTCCAACCTTTCCCCAGCCTTCCCCAAGGCTGTGGTCCAGAGATGCCCACATCCACCCAGCCTCCCACCCAAAAAGATCAGTAAATGAAGTACAGAGAGGCAGTAAATAAAGCACAGGGAGGGCCAGGTTTGTTTCTTTTATAATAACAGAGTCTTTGTCAGGCAAGGGGGCTGGCCAGGACATGAACTGAGACCCAGTGCTCACAGCGGCATGGTCCCAGAAGCCAGCTTGGCAAGCTGACACAGGCAGTGCACATGTGCCATGCCACGCCCCCCCCCGCCCCCCACACACATGACAGCAAGCGCAGCTGCAGCCCTCTCCCCAGTGCGGCACAGAAATGTCATTCTGCTGAGATCCTTCTGCGTGCCACAGTTTCTTAGGCTCCTACGGCCCTGGCCCCACACATCACCAAGGTTTTCACCTGGGTTGCCAACAGCCACCATCCACCAGCTGGGGCCATGTCGGCACCCACAGTCTGAAGGAGGAAGTGTGGGAGTAATCCCAACTCCCATCACAGCTCATGACCACATGGTCCAAGCTGGCAGGAAAGGAGGAGTCCCTGCACAGAATCGGCAGCTTCCACGGCACAGGTTTCTCCAGCCTCCACCCTGTTCCTATCAACGACACAACTAAGGGGACATCTTACATGCCCTTTTCTACAGATGTGTAGCGTTCTATAATTTGGATGGAAAGCACTACATTCAGCATTTCTTTTGATGGACCAAACTTCTCATTTTTGTCACCGCACACAAGTGGCTATAAGCACAGTGTGGACCACACACCCCCATCGCTTTTGGGGTGCAGGTCCCTGTAGATGCAAGAAGAGAGAAACTGCAGATGCAAGAGGAGAGAAACCCATACTGCAGATGCAAGAGGAGAGAAACTGCAGTCTTCTGTGTCCACACTGCCCACAGCCCCCGGAAGGGGTGTCTTTTAACCCTCCTTGGCCCCTGCCAGCAGGCTGCCCATCCCCAGGCTGCTGGGGTTCACTCCTATGCAGAGCTCCTCATCTCTGGCTTGTCCCTTTTACAGTAGTAACAGAACCTGTGTCAGCCAGCCTGACCTTTTTACTGGCAATCTGGAGAAGTCTTTCAACAGCAGTACCAATCCAGCTTAGTAACTTTATATATGTCATGCTTTCCCACATCTAGGCATGCATAACTTTTTTCCTGCTTCTGGCTATGGACTATTGTTAATTCTGTCAAATGGTATGAGCCAAAAACCACAAACACAACAGAACACCCTCACGACTGAGGTCTCACTAGGATGGGGTGGTGGGTCTGCCATGTAGGGACTTTCATTGGAGGGACAGACATAACAGCAGCAGAACTTTACACCCACGAGGCTAGGGAGGGGCACTGCGCCCTTATGCCACTATGTCTTTATTTTTATGCACATTTGAAATTTTCCAAATTAAAAAGCTTTTTCAAGAAATAATGTCCCCAAAACTGTCTCTGAAGATTTCCGTAACTGTACTTTTCATACTTGAGTTCTCAGTGTAGTGTCAGCTCTGCATGGTAGGGATGCAGCTTCATCTTCCTGTGTTCCCTCACTCCCTGCACTGCCACCCAGACTGGAGACGCCTCCTGAATCCGCTCTTCTAGCCTGCTCCCTACTCCTAGGAAACCAGCATGCTGTTTCCAATGCAGCAGTTTTATAGTATGTTTTAAAAGTTAGAAAATGCAAAGCTCCACTATTTTAAAATTTTTTCATAGAAATCTGACTTGCATATGAACTTTAATGCATTTTATCAAGATAACAAGGGGGGAAAAGCACATGAAAAGATGTTCAGGATTGCAAATAACTTATTCTGCAAGTGTTGTGCAAGACAAACAAACATTCTAATAAATTATAACTTGATAAATGAGCAATGTCTTGCAACGTGAGTAGTACATGATGCCAAATGTCACATGATCACAACTGAGCCAATAGTTCCCCTCTCTGTCGCTGTCTTTCTGCCCCTCTCTCCCCTTCTCTCTTACTGTGGGATTGTGGGTGGTAGTCTCCCAACAGCAAGATGTTATGGAGGAGATCTCATCTGTAGAGGAGGAAGAGAAAAAGATGGAGTAACCCTTGACTTCAAATGAGATTAGACAGATTTGTAAAATGTGGGAAGCAGTGCAAAATTTTGTAGAGAAGCAACACCCAAATAAGGCTGTAGCAGTGGGAGCACTCTAACAATGCAATATCACATTTCTGAAAAATCCTCAAAAGGAGGCAAAAGCAAGTGCTGTTAGACAGGGTCCTTGTTACAGCTGCACACAAAAAAAGATTCCACTAAGCCAGTAGAGAGCAGTGATTCCATTAGTGACAGTTAAAGTTGTCCTATACAGTGACCCTCCTCTCTCTTGACTCCCTCACATCAGCCAGGAAGGTTCTCAAAGGTAAGCACAGGTTAATTTGTTTATTTTTCTTGATATTTTGTATTTTCTTTATAATTTTATATTATATTACATATTATAATCAGTTTATATGACTATTTTTGGGTTATAGAATGAATCACTGGAGTTTCCATTATTCCTTAAGGGAAATTCTCTTAGATATACAAGTGCTTTGGATTACAAGTATGTTTCTGGAATGAGTTACCTCACAAACCAAGGCTTCACTGTATACATGAAACTTACAGGGTGATGTCACCCACAGGCCTAATGGCTATGATTTCAACAGTGACAATGCCGAACACCAAACCTGAGTGAGGACCTGGAGACAGTGCAGCTCACAGCTTCACATCAGGTGTGGGACAGCACGGCCACTCAGGACACACTTCTACAGTCTCTTATACCACAAGATGGACAGATGAGCCATGGACCCCAGCACATTTATTCCTGAGAAGGAAAGAGCTAGGTCCACACAAACCTGTGCACAGACATCTTGGCACCTTTACTGCCCACAGCAAAGCTGACAACAGGCTGACGGGTAGATGGTCATACACACTATGTGATAAAAGGAGGAAAACATCCAGGGTCATATGCTTATGGAAAGCATAGCCTCACGAGACCATAGCAAGTCTACCTGTACAGTTCTAAGAACCACAGCAACAGAGAGGGCAGAGTAGTGGCTGCTGGGACAAGGAGGGGGGCCGTGGCTGTGTCTCTGACACAAATGAACACAAAGCCTAAGGTTGTGAAAAACTAGAAGTATGCCTGCTCCAAACATGTGGGAGCCTAAAGAGACTGAGGAAGGCCAGGAGTGCAGACAGGTGATGCCACAGTAACAGCCTGGCTACTATATCATGCAGTCACAAAGGGGAAGCTAAGTGAAAGACACAGAGTTCTAACCCTAATTGTATAAGCTCCTGTGAGTCTGTAATTACTCAAAAGGAAAAAATAAATTTTATTTAAAGTAACAGACAGGTAATTTGGATCAACCTTCCAGCTAAGACATTTTTAATGAAAGAAAATGTGCCTGCAGTCCCTGGAGATCACAGGGACAGATGCAGCCTGGCAGGGTGGCTGCCACATCCCTGAGCCCCTGCTGGCCCAGAGGAGCCCAGAGCACAGCCATGCATCCAGGGAGCCAGGGATCTCACCTGTGGCTTGTGTTATCAACAGAAATATCCAGAGTGGGGCAGAGGTGACCAGGATACCAACCCCACAGAGGTACATATGTCACCCTGGAGAGGAGCACATTCCCACCACCACCACCTCCAATCCTCCAGAAACAACAAAGGAGTGCTGCATGTGACAGCTGAGCAAGGATTTCAAACCATGCTCAGCACATTTAATAGGGTACAGAAAATGGGTAAAAAACTACAACAGGGATATGGAAGCCAGAAAAGAAAGGCAAATGAAGTTCTAAAAGATAAAAATACCAAATTTCAGAATTTGATCAATAGGGGCTTTGCGGGGGAGGGGTTCTTTAGCTTTATTTTTAAAATAGGGTCTTGCTTAGCTGTCCAGCTGGGCTTGAACTTATGATACTCCTGCCTCAGCCTCCCAAAATGGGGAGAGACCTGATGGATGGGTTTAAAAGCAGATAAGAGACAGGTGAAGAGAGAATTAATGATAATGGAACACGGATCAGAAGAAAAATCCAGACTGAATCAGAGACACAGAGCAGGGAGCAGTGTGAGACATAGCCCACGAGGAAGGCCAACATGGAGGACAAGTGTCCCAAAAGGAGAGGAGGGAACAGAAGAGTAAGATGTGAGAGAAGGCCTGGAAATGTCCCCAAAGTGACCAAAATATCTCTAAACAACTACAGATTCCAGACACACCGTGACCCGCCAGAGCCTCTAGTAAGACAAACATGAAAACTCATTCTGGGTAAAACACTATACAATTGCTAAAAACCAGAGATAAAGACCAACTTTCAAAAGAGACCAAGGAAAGAGACTTCCAACAGAGCAGTAAGTACACCAGCAGCCACTTCTCAACACAACTGGAAACGAGCCTGGGCCAGCAGGCACCACCTTGAAAGGGTCGGAACACATGAGCAGGGGTAAATGCAGATTAAGCTCCAGCCACAGAGGGCCCTGCTGGGGAAGGTGGAGAGAGAGGTGATGGCAGCAGAGGCCACAGACACCCTGCAGCATCTCTCCTTCAGCCAGAAATGCCCAACAGTGCCCGCAACACACCCTGCCCAGGAGCCTCCCAGCAGAGTGGGGGTGGCAGGGAGCAGAGATGGCCACCAGCCTGCAGTGGCCACCCTCAGGGCAAATGCCTCAGGGCGGGGGCGGGGGGAGAAGATGCCATGCCTCGGTGCCAATAAGGGTGCCTTTTGTAAATCATTGGACCAAACCATAGGTTCTGGTCCTTAGGTGGTCGGTGAGGCCATTCCCGGCAGACAGAGGCTGTGGCAGGCATGGAGGAGAGTGGGGTGGTTGCTGCCTCTTTCAACATGGACACTGTGTCCCCGGACTGCTGCATCGGCTGTGGGCAGTCGTGCGGTGGGCAAACTCATAGATGGTAACTCTGTGGCACTGCACTAGGCCCTGAGCACATGTGCCCATGCTTGCACCACCGCTGCCTGCCCTGGGACTGTGACCACCTGGTTGGTAATGAGCAGCTGGTATGGCCATGTAGTAGAGCCTAGTAGTACACCAAGCCACAGCACTTTACCACGGTGACAGGAGCCACAAGGACACAAGAGATGCTTATCTCATGGTGTGGAAGCTAGTGCTGTATCAGGTAGAAAAAGTGAGCTTTAAAGCAGTTACACAATTGACCCCAGCTTGGTGAAACACACATTCAGTTAAAGGAAAGACCAATGCAAAGGACCCCAAGAGCTCCTGTGAGAAGAGTGAGTATGATAGCCCCTAGTTCCTCCCAGATCAGCTCAGTGGGCGCAACCCCTACTGCATACAGGAAGAGCAGAGACAGCCTGAGAGAGGAGTACCTGGCCTGTGCTCAGGCACCCTCATGAAAAGCTATGGGGCTGGGGCCCCAACACGCCTATAATGGATTGACAACTGGTGGTCAACTTATAACACCCAGCTGAACTGAGTAAGTGTGATGCTGGGTGTGGGAGGCCCACCCGGGGTCTGTTGCCAGCAGCATAAGAGGCAGACCTGGAGAAGAAGAAAGGCTGTTGGGAGCAGAGAGAGGCTGTTGGGAGCTGGTAGAAGCTGTAGGAGCTGTTGGTTCTGTTGGAGGAGCTCGTCATGCTGGCTTTCCTGATGAAGTTGGCTGTTTTCATCCTCCGAAGAGCTCAGGACATTGTTGGCACTGAGAACAGCTTCGGTTCACTTTCAGGGAGCTCTGGTCCTCACTTTGAGCACCGCTTCCTGGTTCCGGATGGGAAAATGGTGCACTGACAGTCTCCTGGAGAACCTTACTGCGTGAGCTTCCCTGATGGGAACTCAGCTGTCTTCACCCTTGGAGGAGCTCGGGACCTCACTGTTGCTGAGGATGACTGTGGTACTTTTCAGGGGAGTTCTGGTTATTACTTTGCATGTCGCTTCCTAGCTCCAGGGTAGACCCCTCAGCCTGCTAGCACAGACCCTTCACCCCGCTGGCACAGACTTCCTAGATTCCACCACTGACCTTTGGGCCTTCCCAGTGCAGATCCATGGAATAGGCCTGCATGAGATATTGTTATGGGCTCTAGGCCTCCAGTTGGACTCCTGGGAGGCATTGTTATAAACTCTAGGTCTTAAGCTGAACTCACGCAGGACATTTGAGCGGGATCCAGGCCCTTGGCTAAATTCCTTGGTCTTAGTGCATGGACAGATTTCCTGCACTTCTTTGTATAGCACTGTTTGAGTTACTATTATAAATAATCTTGTAAAATATGTATCCTGTATTACATTGTTCCCCCCTTGCAATATCCCCCAAAACCAACACAACCCCGGAGAGAAGGCGATCAAGGCCACCATGAGCTGATCAGAAGGTGACACCTTCCAATTATGGCCATGTCATACCCCAAGGCACATGCCCATCTTGGTCAGGGGACTAGCTGTAGGGCTACAATCTCACAGTTCCGTGCACCAGCTGACATAAGGTGGTGGAGGCTCGCAGTTTTCAGCGACATTCACAGACGAGGGCAGGGTGGGAAGTGGGGAGGGGGGCACAGGAGGGTCACCTATCCCTAGCCCCTCAGCTGGGGCACCCTGGAACCTGAGCATGCTCGCCCATACTCGGACCAGGGATCAGGGCAAGTCTGCACTCCAGGCTTCCCTCATTATAGCCCACCTATAGCTCAACGTCACATGGAAGATGACACAAGCCAAGGCCATGGAATGAGCTGGGCCAGCCCCACCAGCAGGGCAGGGTGTCAGGAGCACAGCTAGGGAAGCCTGGCCCTCCAACTGTCAGGCTGTGAATCACACAGAAACAGCCAGCCTGAAATGAGGGTTGTGTGTCAACACTGCATCTGGACATGCTCTGTACTTCCCTCCTCACGCTCACCCAGCAACCTCCACAGATAAAGCAGCTCAGTGCTCGGCTGTGCTGAGCCCCACAGGTGCCAAGGCCCTGCAGCCTTCCCTGGGCCTGAGAATCCCAGGAGCTGTTTACAGACAGATTCTTCCCTCCTCCTCCAAGTGGGCTCAGGGCCATGCACTGAACTTCCTGAAGATAAGACTAGCGTGCTATCCCTGGGCCGGAATCACTGAAACCAAAGGCGAAGCCCGCCATGGCTGCTGCTGGCTTCAGTTGCCTCTGCCTTGTAGGAGCACCACAACCTACCCACTGGCCTCTAGGGGCTTCAAGTGGGCTCAGGGCACACCTCCAGCATATGAGCTCTTCTCCTCCAGCCTGGCAGCCACACAGGCACTGCTGGGCTCTGTTGTTCTCCTTGACAGATCTGACCCAGTCCTGCACTTTGCACAGGCACGCGCGCACACACACACCCCACCCCACCAGCCAGTCCTCCTGCACTCTGCTGCATGGCCAGCCACAGTGCAGGTCCACATGGCACCACAGCTGCCACTGTTCAAGCCAGGCCTGGGAGCCCTTGGTTCCCTCTCAGGTGGCTGGCTTTCCACCAAGCTCCAGGTCCTGCGAGGTTGATGGTGCCGGGCCCTGTCCCACTCTTGCCCAGGCTCCACACAATCCTATACTACCAAGTTACAACTTGGGACTCACAGCAGCCCTGCCACAGGATGCCAAGGGACACCAGGGGACACTCATGGGCAGCATGACCAGGGCAGGAGCTGCTGTGCAGCACTGCAGAGCAGCCTGGGTGGCACTGCTGGCTCTGACACCCCAACAAGAGCCACACCTGGTACACTGTGTACCTCCTCTGACCAGGACCTTTTCACCAGCCCTCTGGGTGGCTCAGGTGCACCTGTGCAGCTCGCTCTGACCAGGTACCTTGGGTATATCCCTGGAGAAGACCATGAGCTCCCAGTTTCTAGCAGGAACAACTGAACGGGCTTCGGGGAATCTACATGTCTACCTGTTGGTATCATGTGAGCGCCCAGCAGATAATTTAAAAATATACTCTGGATATAATTCTAAAGCTATTTTATAATTCTATTTTATATTCTGGATATAATTCTAAAGCTATTTTGTACTAAAGCTATTTTAATTTAAATACTGTATCAGAGAGGAAGAGCCCACACAGCTTGTTGTCTCACAGTGAGAGATGGGGCACCCACAGCCACTCACCCAGCTAGTCCAGGGGGTCAGACTCAGGGAGCAGAGGACTCAGTAAGTTACACATGTGAGCAGCGTCAGGAGTTGGTCAGGGAAGAGCATGGGACCTCCAAGCCAAGGAAGTTGCCTGCTGCCTGGCACCACAGAAGGCCCAGTCCAAAAGGTTACATGAGAGAAGTGACATGAGAGACACAGGATGTCTCCACTCCGAGGCTGGAATAAGGGCCTCTGACCTACCTGCTTGTCTCATGAGTTCTCCTCCAAGGCCCCTGAAAATCAATGAGAATATGCATGGTTAGAATCTCTCAGTCCACAAGAAACCACAAGAAACATCTTCACTAAGTAACTTCAGGTGCAAGAAACGCTACAGCCCTGGTGGCGAACCTATTATAGGTGTGTTTTTCTTTTTTTAAGACAAAAGATGTTACTGTATGAGTTTTTTTCCTAAAACCTCAGTGTTCAGGTTAAATTGCAGTATTGGCACTTTGCGATGAATACGTGGGTTTGGGGCTGCAGTATGGGCACTCGCTCTCTCAAAGAGTCACCATCTCTGCACTAGTGTTAATGAGCTGACCTTGATACTGAAGGGTGGACTACCTTCGCGGAAAGCAATGAGATGCCATGAGACTAGCTCCTGTGGTCTCCATTTTGGCTGGGCTGATCTGACTCTCGTCTTTCTGCTGGACCCTGTAACTAGTGCAGGCACCAGCCACAGTGCACGGCCATAGAACAAGGCCCAACACAGCTCAAGCGTTGCTTCACAAAGGCATCAGAAAGACCACCATGAGGTCCACAGGAGACCACTGGTGTTCTGCCACAAGCAGGCAGGCCGCACAGTCTGTCCTGCATGGCAGCAAGGTCTGGATTTGCCTACTGCCTCACACAGTTACAACACTCGGCAGAGTACAGGACATACAGAAGATCCAGGGCAAAGGGTGCAGACCAAGGCCCTCCAACACCCTGGAGACCCAGGCGAGGCTTTCAGGCACAGAGTGTGTGTGGAGCCCAGCATAGCCCACCTGTCAGGCTGAACCGAGGCTGAAATGGAAGAGGGCAAAGCCCTATGGATCAAACAGAGGGCAGCATGATCTGCGGCTGACACCAAGCTGCACACATAGGAAAGGACCTGTGCTAGCCTGTGAGAAGACAGTAGAGAGAAGGCAAGCCAATCCTTGGAGCCTCCCAGGGTGGGGCACAGATGTCAGCCAGGTGGACCAGCCTCAGTGTGTATGGGATACCTGACCGGACTCACAGAGGGCTCCTCAGCATCAGAGATGATGTTGTTCCAGACATAACAAGGCCTTAGAGGACCTGAAGGATCCAAACATACCAGAAACTGAGAAACCATAGTTATTAAAAGGAATACAACCATCTTGGGTATGGCACACATGTCTGTAATTCAGCAACTCAGAAGGCTGAGAAAGGGAGATTGCAAGTTCAAGGCCAGAGCCACTGTCTTAAAACTTTAAAAGGGGTGGGGGGGAGAGGGGAGAGGGAAAGAAAAAGGACTGTAACAGAATCTAGTTTTGGGCACATTAATTCTCACAAAATGGAAATCTAATAAAGAATTCCCAGGAAAACATATATAACATGACCACAGCTGAAAGAATAAAAAAAAAAAAAAAAAAAAAAGAGACCCAGAAATGCCCACACTGAGGAAGTAAGTGCACAAAAGCATTATGACAGCCATCCCACTGTCCATAGGTCCAAAAAGGCAGGGGTGAAAAGAGAATAAAAAAGAAACATGAGAAACTTCAGGATCATATTTTAAAAACACAATCTGAAAAGAAAAACTGTGCTAAATGTAATTAACAGCAAATTAGAAAGAAGAGAATAAAATTTCAAACTTCAGAGACAGAAAGCAGATAGTGCAGGGCAATGGGAACATTCTCATTTCATGATTAGTGGTGTGGTCACAAGACTGTATGAGTTTGCTGAAACTTGCCAAATTTTACTCTTAGAAATAAGTTTGTTATATGTGAATTGTTACTCAAAAGGTTTTAATTAACCTACTGACAGCAATAGCAGAATGAAAGATCTCCCATTTCTATTTCACCAGCATTTGGGCAAGAATGATGACAGAAGCCAGGTTCCAGGTGAATGTGCACCCAAAGGAGCATGCTCCGGCTCACACTTCTCCTGAGCCTCTTGCACTGGTTACCCTGCTGGAATCCTAGCGAAACCCCCAATGTTGTTTAGAAACACACTGTGCCTGCTCAAACTGCCACACACTGAGGTGCACATGACCACAAGGAGCCTCTGGCCCAGTTCTGAGAGCACAGTGCACACTTCTTGGACACGCGAGGCTACAGACTCCACCACCCACCTTCTAAGTAAACTTGAATACTCTTCCATGTCACTTTTGTTTCATTAGGCACTCGTGCCAGTAAAAACTTAAGGAACTTTACTAACACCAGGACAGGGCTCAGGAGGAAGCTGTGACAAAAGCAGGAATGGGAAGAGGTTCAGAAGACCTCCTTAGAAAGAAATGCTCCTGATGAGGATCCTGAGGTGACACCAGCCAGTCCTGACAGGCCACAAGAACCAAGATGAGCACTGCCACCGGGCTGTCCATTCGCCACCACAGAGCAGGAGCAAGTGTGGGCAAACCCAGGTCTGACAAAGAGCTTGCATCAGGACACATCAAGAGCTCTGCTGGCTCAGTAAGAATCATGCAATGAGCATCTGATCGAACCAAGGTCTGAACAGCCCAGCTGGCCAAAGAGGTCACCAGGGAGATGTAGACTATAGGATGCCACAGAGGAGGTGGCTCTGGTGGTTTGGGAAGGGCACGGCACACAGCACATGCAGCAGATCAGCCCACAAGCAGCATGTGTGAATCTCAATACAACAGGCTCAGCTAAGGCAGACTGGAAAGGCTCACGCTGTATGATCCCACTGGTGAGAAACACAAGACAAGGCAACAACATCAGAGAAGCACCACACCTATGACCTTTGGGCCAAGGACTCTCACACCCTTGATCCTCAAGCTAAGTGACCATCACACCTCTTCAAACCAAGTAAACAGAGGGCACAATGGCCAGGATGGCCCCAAGCTGAGCCCAGACTCAGCTATACCAAGCACAGCCCAGCCCAGCAGCTGGTGCCCATGGCCTGGCATTGAGACCCTGCTCAGGAGAACGTCAGTTGGGGAGCTTACCTGTACAGGTGCCGGTCAGAGAGCTACAAACAGAGAACAGGAAGTTAGTTATTCAGGTAGTTAGGATTTTTAAAGTAACAGTCCATTAGCATCAACAGAGATGGTGACAGAGCAACAGAACGGTGTCCAGGCCCAAGAAGTCCAGCACAGAGATCCTTCTCTACTGGGCCCTCATCAAGTTCTTCAAGTGGGCGTAGAGAGAAGAATGAGAGCCAGGACCAACTCTCCACCGCCACCACAGAGCCTCCCAGGCAGACAGCCAATCGTGCCAAGAAGACTCTGATGCTGCTTTTTCTTCAAAAGAACTGAAAAGCACTGCATAACACTGTCATTACCACTTCAGCTCAAAGTTACAGATACTTACACACTGTGAGAAAGTCTACCAAATCCTTTAAGCGGATTCTTTAATTCTCGCCAAAACTGAAGGAAGTGGCCTGTTGATGCCTTGCTTAGAAATAGGACACCCTTGCTTAGAAGACTGAGCAGCCCTACTTTCTCAGCTACTGCATGGGGCTAACCCTCACCTTGCAACTGGACAAGGACGTGGAAGCCCTCCAAGCAAGAAAAAGGTAAATTGCACAATGGTTTTGCCACAGTCATAAAGTTAACATCATGAATAGGACAATGACCAGAGGCCAAGCGGCCAACACCATATGGAGCCACAAGACTTAAAGAATAGAAAACTTGCCTGGTGTGGTAGCATGTGCCTGTAATCCCAGCATACTGGGAGGCTAAGGCAGAAGAATCTCCAGTTCAAGGCCAACCTGGGCTAACAGTAAGTTCAGGGCCAGCATGGAACATAGTGAGACTCTCTCTCTCTCAAAGAACAAAACAAATCTAGACTAGAAAACCCTACTTGAAACGGAAAGAGTGAAACCATTTTAGTCTTTAGGAATTATTTTGAAATTTTCCTGTTGCTAGATCTGCAGTTCATATTTTACCTTGAGTCACTGAAGGTGTTGAGAATCTCAAACTCAGAAAAACACACACCTTCTCCCCAAGGAAATATACACACAATTCTGGATTTAACTGCAGAGACTTGAGCCCCAGCTGTGGATGCACTGGTGGAGAGCAAGGGCCTTTGCGCCCGGCATTCTCCCCAGCCCACAGGTACGTGCCTCTGCAGATGCCTCGAGACCCCTGACAAAGGCGGGAGGACCGGTCCCCAGAGGGCAGTGCAGCGCTCCTGCAACCCACTGGAGGCACCATGCCACATGCAGCCGGGCTGCACAAGGAAGAGGTCTATACCCACCTCCCTTCCCAGACAGACCCCCACAGTTCTGGCTGCAGAATGTGTCAAGGGTGAGATCCCCACCCAACCACCGTGGAACTGGGTGCCCCCTTGCACCCCAGGGCTGAACAACAGCTGCTGGGGCTGAGGAAGGCAGAGAGGCCCCGAGGAAGGGTATGTATGGGAAGGCCACACACAAACCTGCTGGTGGATCTGTCTCAGGCCCTGTACCACCTTCTCGTCCAGGTAGTCTGTGACAGGCCTGCAGAGAGTGAAATACAGCACTGAGGTCACAGGCCCCGGGACCCAGCCTCCAAGTTGCCTACATACAAAGAGCAGAAAGGTCTGCTCCCTGCCCAGGTCCCTCTAGCCCCAGGCACTCCTAAGTTGGCTCACAGCAGGTAAGCATCAGGATGCTCCTGCAAGCTCTGACCATGACCCTATACCAGCAGAAACAAGTCCCCACAGGGCTGGGAGAAGAGCCACACACAGGCGGTCACCATGTCCTCAGGGCTCCCTCATTAGTGGCTACTGGTGCATCTTCCCTCCTCATGGAAGCCTGCAAGCTTCCTGTGCCACCAGCCCTGGGGAGCTCCCCAGCTTCCCTATGTCATCAACAGGCAGCAACATGTGCCCCTGTGACCAAGCAGGCAAGAACAAGACACTGTCATGAGCCTCCTCCCACACACAGTCGCAAGGCCACCCACACCAGTGCCCACTTCACCCACAGTGCCGCAGTTATGCTCTGTGCTCTGGGGCTGGTCTGTGGGAAAGGGTGACATATAGTTCCTCCAGACCTGGAGGCCAGGAACCATTCACAGGCAGCACAGTGTGTCCCTAAGGTCTTTGAGAGGAACCCACTGGAAAGCAAAGTAAGAAAAGGAAGCAGCTCTTGGAACACTGGTCCCATTGGGCCACCATGGCCTGGAGATGGCTTCACTGACATTGCTACAAACACAGCCACCAAAAAAGTCCCCAAGGAAAACTCCCCAACCTACATGCTCCAGGACCACAGGTTACTAAAAGTGAGGAAGCAGGAAGGATGCAGAGTACATGAGCTTTCCAGACCGCTCTGAAAGAGTGCCTACCCTGGCTCTCATCGTCCAGCTCATTACTTCCCAGCAATTCGGTGAGGCGAGACACAGGATGCCACACAGCCCCCACTGAGGGGTGTGTGGGTGGTCCTGGCACTGGTGAGCCTCAAAGGAAAACGTGGGAACTAAAGACCACAACTCTTCCTGTATCTGAGATCACCATAACCCTGCGGCCACCCACACCAGAGATCACCTCAACCCCGTGGCCTCCCACAGACCAGTAGGGGGCAGTATCCCCTACCTGTCGCTCTGCACTGCCAGCTTGTACAAGGCGTAGGTGACTTCTGCGCAGGCAAGAATGGCACCATGCCGCGTATGTAGATCTGGACTCAGCGTCATCAACAGCAAGGCAGGGAGCACTACAAGACAGAGTAGCTTACTTCTCAGTCACTCATCTGAGTTGGAAGTTTATGCTACATGAATACACAAGACAGAACAGGCTCAGACTCTTCTCCAAGGGAAAAAAGCAAAGGTAGACCATGCCATGGTACCCTGAAGTGGCTGTCACATAAGGCAGACTCTGAATCTGAGGCTGAGCCAGTCTCCAGACAGACACCAACAGACTTGCTGACATCCAGTTCAACTGTCTGGAAACTTGACAAGGCTCCTAAGTCTGTACCCCACAGCCTGTGCAGGTACCTCTGAGATGCTCCCAGGAACACACCACATCCAACGGCACACCATCCCCAACTAAGTCCAGCAGGAGCAAAACAGGATGTCACCTTCAGCCCGTGTCTCTGCTGTGTGCATGTGTGGATTCGGGTGTTCTGCGGGCCAGGGGCACACCTACCATGCGTGGCGAAGTACTCAGGCACTTGTGGGGCCAGCTGGTGCAGTGCCTTGGCTGACAGTTCTCGGATAGCCCTGGGTGGGAGAAAATGCAGATGAGAAGAGGCATCTGTGTACCCACATTTACAATAGCAAGAGGTGAAAGCTAAGCAGATGGGTGGAAAGATGGGATGAGCAAAATGTGGCAAATACAACAGGGGAATATTCTCCAGCCTCCAAAGGGAAGGAGATCCCAGTGCCTGCTACAGCTGGATGACATCTATGGTCAGCTGGCTAAACCCTACCTGAAGCTGCTCTCCTAGAAGCTCTCAGTTAAGAATAGTTTCTCATTTTTAAAGGGATGTGTGAAGAAAAAATTGTAAAATTTATGGGATAGAGAGCTAAGATATTTACCATGAGGCCCTGTAAAGAGAAAGCAGCCAGCCTGAACAGCACCAAATTGCACCTAGAAATCTGACACAAGATGTGGACAGGGCCAATATATTAGGAAGACACAAAATTATAAATGTATATATGTCTAATAAGACACCCTGACCCAAAATACAGAAAGGAAAAACTGACAGAACTAAAGCAAGGTCAGAGATTTTAGCAGCTCAGAAATTCAGCCCACCTGGGAGCTGCATGTATATGATCCTGGCTGCTGCACTGTTGAAAGGGAACTGACAGGGTCTCTGCCCCCACGGTGCACTAGGCACCCTGCTGCGGACAGCCCCAAGCAGATGCTCACTTGGGAAGGTCACAGCCAACCAAGTGACAGCAGATCTGGCCAGAAGCTCCTAGTCGGGAGGCCTTGCCCAGGCCACCAAGTGTGGCTGCTCCGTGCAGTGGCCAGCAGTGGATATGTTCAAGGCTTTGGTCTTCAGGGAAGCTCAAACACATTCCCCACAAGCCATGAAGAACCTTCTGCACAGAGCATGCCTTTACACTGAGACTCACAGCAGCACCTTGATGCCTGTGCTACACCTTGGAGCAGCTATACCTGTGTCTTCCAAGCGGAACTGACATGCTGGCCCAGGACTCCTCAGCAGCACTAACACAGACTGTGCTCTAAATTGCACACATAGCTTTCCTCTTTGGAGAGTCATATTTAACTTCCTATAAAATGCTAAGATACCTTGACCTGCTACTGTAATTACAAAAGTAGCCATGGCGGCCTGCTCAGCTCTGCAGAAACCTCACAGGAGCCACACAGTGGTGGGTGGAGGAGAATCTGGGGCCTGGGTCAGCTTCAGTCCCCAGGCCAGGGCGCCCACAGTGACACACGACTCAGGGCATCTGCAGGGGAGCAGGGTCCTGCAGGCACACCCAACCAGGATTGACAGGGCCAGCTGGAAGCAGACTATGAACTCATGGGCCAGGGTAGAGGCTGGGACTCCCACCTCTTCACCGGAGCTATTTTAAACTATGACATTTACAATGAGAAAAGACATTCACAGCTTATCAGTTTGATTTTATCTCTCCTACAGAAAACCAGAGTCCTAAGGACCACAACTTACCCATCCCAGTGGCTGATTTTCATGGCAACCAGGTGATCGATCATTGGCTGGGTATACTCAGGGAAGCTTGCGATGGACACACTGAAAGAAACAAGACCGAGAAGTATGAGGATGTATGTAGAGGTGATGGAACCTTTACATGACACACGCAAAGGCACAGAATAGAGCAGAGACCTGCAGAAACAGGCTATTTCTTCTAAACTAAGAAATCTACCAGATGATCTGCCATTCCCTCCCTACTCAGCTAAGAGAAAGGAAAGGGCTTCTGCACACAGACCAGGCGTACGGGCAAAGGCAACTGTGTGCCTAGGCACCGCAGAGGGGACAACCCACCACTGGGCAGCTGCCACCATGCAAGCCACCATGCAAGGCCACAGCCTCTGCAGCCAAAATCAAGTGTGTACTATTTTATTCCCTTTCACACAAAATTCTAAAGAATACAAACCCTGCTGTCAGAAGTAGATCACTGGGAACCCATGAGTGACAGGGTATTCACCACTGTGGCAGATACCTGAGCCTTCATGGGCATGCACCTGTGATGAACTGAGCAAGCCATTTACTTTCTGTGCAGGTAATGTGGGGCAATTATGCTTCAGTAAAGCTGCTAAAAGTATTGAGTTGGAGAGACCTTACATTGGGAAGAGAGACCTTGGATTACACAAAAATAACAAAGAACCTGTATATAAATACATAAATAAAACAAACCCAAATGAAAAACTTGCCTAGATTTTTATAGAAACATCATAAAAGAAAAACAGAAGGCCAATGGGAGCTGCTGTGCCCACGATAGCCAAAAGCTTGAGACAGTGACAGAGCCAGAGTTAGGAGGCTGCGGAGCTCGAACTGCACACACCATCAGCTTAGCAGTCTCTTACACAGTTGAATGTGCAGACACTCCCTTTTAGGTCTTTACCTATAAGAAATGAAAACATACCCCCTCATAAAAACTTCTAAATAAATTTTCATGAAAAGATAAAAATTCAGAAAAGCCTAGCTACTAACCAACAGGCAAACCAACAGGTGAGTTACATGGTCACAGACAGCACACTCCACAGCAACAAACAGGCCACTTCATAACACAAGTGGGTCTGCAGTCACTGTTGGGGCAGAAGCATCCAGACCTCAAAACAGCATGTGCTTCCCGACTACACTGCTAGGACCCCGAGAGTAGGCAAAGGAGGTGCCTGGTGCCGGGCAGGGTAAACTGCAAGGTGGTGGAAAACCCAGATCCCCAGGCAGGTGTAGGCCCCAGATGTGTACCTGGTCAGCACATGCTGAGCCACACAGCACACAGCTCACCAGGCAGAGCACAAACAATGCCTAAAAATATAAATTAGGGGGCAGCTCATGCTAGAGTGCCTATCAAGCATGTACCAGGCCCTAGCACTGCAGAAAAATACAGTTACCTCTTTTGGAAATAATATGGTAGAGCTTCAAAATTAATCTCCCAGTGGGTGGGCTTTCCAAATTACGATGGAAACCCAGAGCGATGAAGAAAAACACATTGAAAAATCAAGTCAAGGCAAATAGCAAATCCAGAAAAAGTATCTACAGTGGTCCTATCCATGATTCTTTAAAAGACACAAGTTCTTCCAAACCAACACAGACATTGTGGTCTCAAGCAAAATCCTTATGAACAGCTCACACCGCACACTCAGCTCCTGAGGTGGTTCACAGCCACCTTCCTGCAGGAAAGGACAGCAAAGGGCTGCATATCTGACTCACAGCCACCAGCCAGGGACTAGGAGGGCCCAGGAGCACTGCTGGGCAGCCTCTGTGGACAGCAGTCACATAAACTGGGAAATACAAAGCATAAACACCCTCTGGTCAGAATTCCAATGGATGATCCTTTCAGACATGCAGAAAGGCACTGCACACTGTCTAGAAAAGACTGAATGGAGCCCACCACCCTGAGGGGCTGCAGAGATTGCCCTACTCGGATGTGCACAGAACAGGCTCCCAGATGTGGGCAAAGAAAACACACACCTCAAGTTCACTAGTGAGCCAAGTGTGATGCTCCAGAACAGGACACTGGAACAGGGCCTTTCCCAGCAAGCTGTCAGAGCGTCCATGTCACCAAAGAACCAGGCCACACAGCATCACACTGTCCATATGCTCAGCTGACAATGCCTGGAGAGTACAGCAAGGTATAAGACCCAGAGGAGCAGGCAAGCGACTGCACCACACACAGCAGGCAGGTGGACACTAGGCTATTTGGCAGAAGACCAGTGGAACCAGCCACTGGTACCCTGGCCCTAGCTCCAGCATCAGCAGCACTGACCTTGGGGAAAAGTCCTACCTCACCTGTTGCCAACGTGCAGAGTCCTACAGGCTAACTGTGAATGAAACAAGGAGAATCCACTAGGCGGCAAGGGACATGCAGGTGCAAGTAGAGACATGGAGACTGTTAGGAGGGGTACAGGGGATACAGCGTGACAAGGGTGCAACGTCTCATAGGTCCTGGTGAGAGGCCCAACCCTCCACAGCAAAGACAACAGAGAGGTGATCCCACCGGAAGCTGTCACATCCTCTCTGTCACCCCCCCGCCAGGATAGCTGGGGCACCATCTTCTCATGACCTCTATGGTTGCTCACCACCTCTGTGGCTTGTCCTCTAGGCCAATAGCCAAAGCACCCCCTCCCCTGCTCCAGACTGCCGTTATCCCTTCTAAAGAGCGACCAAAGACCACGTCTAACCAGTCAGAGAAGGAACAGAGCCCAATGTTAATGTTCCCCAAGCCCCCAAACTCCAGTGGGCCATAATCAACATGGCCACCCCTCCTGGAGACTCCTCCAAAGCAGCAAGCAGTCAGTTTCAGCCACAAGAAGCCGTCAATCAAGAAGCTGCTTCTCCCAAAGTTCAGCCAAACTGTTACTACAACAGCTGTCCCAGACTGGGAGATATTTGCTCCAGCTGCAGCAAACCTGAAACACAGATCTACCCCTGATGACCCTGCCCTCTCTGCCATTACTCCAGAGTTCTCAAATAGGTCTGAAAATGCAAGAAACTGCACATTCCATCAGCTCCTGCTCCTCGGGTCAGTCCAGGAGGTTGCCCTCTGTGCACCCCATCCACATCACCGCTGCATGTATCCCAGTAAGTCTCCCTCAGGTGGCCCACTGCCTGCTGAGAGTGGGCCGGGCTGCTCTGAAGAAACAGTAACAGTGGGGGCTATTGACCTTGAAGAGCTGCGGGGGCGGTTGTGGCATGAAGAGCTAAGAGTGGCAAAGACCTGTGCTGACCTGTAAAAGAGCCCCAGAGAGGCAGCAGAAGATGCTAGAAGATCTCCAAGAAGTCACCAGGGGGACTATGAGCTTCAGCCGCCAAGGCGTTAACAGGGCAGCTACGAGACCCCATGAGCTGTAACACTAAGAGGCATAACGCAAAGCTAAGAGCTGCTAGCATTCAAAGCTTGGAGCCACTAACATCAAGGAAGCTGCACTTGGCCAGTTAGATTTTTTTTTTGGTTTGGTTTGGTTTTGCTTTTGCTTTTGCTTTTTTGAGATAGGGTCTTGCTATATAGTGCAGGCTGGCCTCGAACTCCCAGTGATCCTCCTGCCTCAGCCTCTCAGCTCCTGGGATTATAGGCATGTGCCACCACACGTGGCACTCTGCCAATTTGTGATTTATATACAAACTGAGCAAAAGAACTCTCAGACAACTGATGACACAGGACAGCAGGGCAAAGCATGGACAGGGGACAGAGCTGGAGAGCAGGCAGGAGGCCTCTGCAGGTGTCTACGACAATGAGAGCTGGAGATCAGGGGAGGCAAGAGAAACTGCACCAAGGCACATGTGAAGCCCACTAGAACGTCCAAGTGCCTGACTAAACCACCCATCAGGGTGGGAGCAAAGGAGGAGACCCAGTAAACAGGGCAGTTGGTAATGAGTTAGGAGGCAGAAAAGTCACTTTGATCTGAGCAAAGTTCCTACAAAATAAACAGCTTTAAGAATGATGTTTAAGGATGAAGATGTGGGACATCAGTTAAGGAAATTTACAAAAGCAAGAAGAGAACCCAGCTAAAGTCCTACAACTGAAAACAGAAAAACAGCCGGTAAGCCGACACCTGCCCGGTATTCAAAGGTCACATCACGGGCACCCAATGCCAGGGAAAGGACACATCATGGATGTCCACAGTGAGTCCTGCCACTCAGCAGCAGCCAGCAGGATGCTCATGGACTCAGTAGCAATGTGAACTGATGCTGTGCGGCAAAGGGAGCAAGCTAGACAGCTCACCACCATCCATTCACAGGAGACCCAGAGACACCAGACACCAGGTGAGCAAGGGCCATGGAAGCCACTTCTGGAGGTGGTCACTTTACTACAAACTCAGCCAGACCCACCTCACACCAAAATGTACATGTAAAATGGGTGATTTTATTATATGTGAGCTGCCTATAGTGAACGCTTTTTTAAAAAAGGTTCTGATATAGGAGTATGTAGGACACAGAAAGGACACACCACAGACAAGAAGACACTGCCAAGCATCTGAGAGGAACTGTGTCCAGAAGACAGGAAGGTCCTCAAATACTCAAGAAGAAAACCATCAGCCCAGTAAGCACACAGACTAAGGACTGCTAGATACCTACACAAATGATAAGCTGCTTCTCACACACACACATGGCTCAAAGGACAGATGGGCCTCACCATATGCCAGGGAGGATGCAGGCCCCAGACCATGCTCATCCCCATAAGGGATTGCACGCAGCAGGAAAAGCAGCACCCAGCACCAGCCCAGGGCACACACTACTCCCACGTGGGTGCAGGGAGAAGGCAGGACAAGTATAGCAGACAGGAAGCTCAATCTACACAAACCTGTGTGCCCAGGAACACCACCACAGCATGGATAGGGACAGGGACACCCTTCTGCTGTCTGCACAGTGGTGACAGGTACAGATCTGCACTCACAGAGATTTATCGATGTGTACATGCTAAACCTGCAATCTGTATCACCACCAGCACCTGGCAAAAGTGAGGCCAGTGGTGTGATAGACAACCGCAGCCGTCTCCCAGTGTCTCCCTGAGGGCCTCCAGTGAGTGTCAACTCTGTTCTGAGTAGCAGAGTGCCCCGCTTCCAGAAGCACCACCACTCTGGCAACCTGGCTCTATGCCCAAGGGAACTACAAAGTCCTCAAACCAAGCATGGGTAGAGCAGCATGCCAGCCTCTCCAGCCCCACTGGGCACCTCCCCCTCCTCCTGATACGTGGCCCAGCCCAACTCCCTAACAAGCCCCTACCCATTGGGCCCAACTACCCCCTCCTCTGTCTCCAGTCACCAGAACAGCCCTGACACCCTGGCTCCATGCTCAGGCCCCTCCACTTGGCTGTGGCCCCACACTGGCTTCCTCAGCAGGCACCTTCTGTGAGACGTGCTTCCTCCTTCCACCCTCTTCCAGGCCTAGGCACACAACAGGACCATAGCCAGAGGGGTCCTGGTCAAGAAACCCATGGTGGACCATGCAGGCTTGTACCCCACAATGGTGCAAAACACACTGGGAAAGAACAGCCAGAAAGAAGCAGGCCACCTTTCTAAGCTGCCGGCTACTTCACAAGCTTGAGGAAAAGGGGATGGCCTTTCTATGCACAGCAGATAGACAATACCGGAGAAAACAGAAGCAAACAAGAAAGAATTGATGGGCAGTAGGACACAAACACTGTGGGAATCAAGAAGGGGTAATCTGGCCAGAGTCCTCCTGAGAAAGGGCCAGTGGCTGCATCTTTTTTAAAAATCTGTCAAAGCTGGTTATGGAGAAATGTCATTTCTGCACAGTCTGCACAGCAGGGCTGTCAGAGAATCTATCCTCAGGATAGTAAACAGTTAGGAACTTTTTTAAATGTACCAGGCATGTTTCTCCTAATTTGAGGCAAATGAATCACTTTCTAACATCACACCCCTTTTTTTGACATGGATACTGCAACAGCATAACAAGGCAAGAGAAGAAATTTTCCCAGTACTTAGGTTATGTCGGTAAAAATACTTGATGTCATTTCTACACACTGCAGAATGGGATGTTACATAAGTTACTTCTCAGCTTTATTCCTCTGCTTGATTTCTCAAATACCTTTCTCACTCATCTGATAAACAATGTGGCAACAACTTCAACTTTAAAACACTTTTTTATCGAAACAGAAAAAGAAACAGGCGAAACCGTCTGGTCCGAATCTGCTGAGCAGGAAAGGAGAGCAGCATGCCTCACACAGCACCTGCACCCCCGCCACAAAGGCAGCGGGCAGTAGAGGAAGCACAGGCTCCAGACTCACACTCCTCTAACTGCTCCAATTCAACCTTCAACTCTCCACAATAAATTGTATTTACACTCTTCCAAGATAAAGAGAGAAAACAGTCAAAACTAAATGTTGACATCTAAAGTCAAAGAGAACATTGTGTTTTTGTGGTACACCTTAAAATCTCACCTTATAACCAGGAAACAGTTAGCTGTGTTACCAACTGCAAAATAGTCTGCTGTAGTCACAATATCGATTCCATGAGGGAAAGTGCCCTGGTGAAATTGAAGAAAGATGAGAATGTGAGAGATGATTTGACTAAGTAAAGACATCCCAAAAGCCGGGGACCACACATACACATCTACACACAGGCCAGGCAGGAGCATGGTCCCATGGGGCTTGCAGGTCACTGCTTGAGGACCACTCAAATCATCTAAGCCAGTCCACACAAATTACAATTCAAATGATTTAAAGACATCAGCTTCAAAATGTTGTAAGAAATCTTTTTAAAAGACATCAAATTTCAGCAATGTAGATGTGACTGATCTCAGTCTGCACATGATCCTTCTGAACAGAGGCCCCGGCTGGGTACAAGTCCAGAGTAGGTTGGCCACGGCAGGCATCCACGGGAGGCAGATGCCTCCTGGCCATGCCACCCAGGCAAGAGCTGAACCTTGCCCTGCCAAGAATGGCATGGGAGTGACAGGAGCAGCCACCCCAGTCAGGACCAGCAGTAATGGGAGTGTGCACTGGGGGCAGAGACAGTGGGTGGGGCTACAGATGGTGGAGACAGATAATGAGCCATCAGCCCAGCACTACGACACTCCCCACAGGACCCCCAAGTCTGCACATTATTATTGACATCCTTGACTGGTAAAAATATTTGAAAATCTAGAAATGATATGAATAACTTTTTAAGAAAACATTAATACAGAAAGCTATATCCCAACATAGAGAGCCTCTAGCTACCAACCACAGCAGGACAGAAAGGGCTCAGAGAATGTCCCACGCATGGTCACACAGACCCTCTGGGCCCAGGGGGAACAGCAAGATCTCCTCCCAAAGAGCCCCACGGGCCACTGCCCCACTCTGACTAGGGGCAAGTGGGCACGATGCAGTTGGCCCAGGCATTAGGATCCATGTCATCAGAGGACCTAGATGGAGAAGCTGGCTAATGCCCTGCGGGGGTCCTGTCACTCCCCAGTTGCCTCAGTGACTCCTGCCACACACAGGTTTCAGACAGTGGCACCACGTCCAGGCACCTCACAGGCCAACCCCAAGTGCTACATAGTAAGAGTCTGCCCTCTCAGTTGCTCACCCCACAGAGGACACAGTCTTTGTGACTTCTGGTTCTGTCCACCCGAGTGACTACAGTGTCCTTGTGTGCATCACTGTGGCCTAGATGATCCATGCTAAGCTGGACAGCTTATCCAGAAGCATGACCCTGGGAGGGTGCAGCATGCCCAGGTCACTCCTTAGTGCCTGGCCAAGCGTAAATGCTGGCCAGCCACATTTACATCAGAATGAAGCACAAGATGCCCAGCAAATCCCCCAGTCAAGGGTCGCCTGCTGCCCTTAAGGTCAAAGGTGAACCTTTCTCCTTGTGGCACTGACCAGGATACCATTATATGGGCCCTCATATCTTCTTGAAGTCCTGGGAGTGGACTTAGTCCTGGGAGTCACTCACAGGCAGGGTACCTGAAGGGAAGGCTCCCTGGCCACAGGGAGCTCCCCACTCTCCTGCACACCCCCTGCAGGGGCTCACTGGGCTGAGGCCCAAAAAGCACAAGCAGGATACAGAAAGTCACCACAGCAAAGCCAGGTGCCATGGTCCCTGCAGGACATAAGAGGCCCGGTTGTGTGGGCAGGCAGAGCAACAGGCCTGGCCCTCTGGAGGACCCTCGAGGAACCCATGTGCACCTCTCCTGCTAAGACACTCCAGTCTAAGCAGAAAGATGGCTGACCTGATCCTGGTTCCTGCTGGCCAGGGCCTCCAGGAGAGAGATCTGTTCTCAGCCCCTATCCTACCACACCACAAATTCCAGGTCCTTCTGCCACCTGCTCAGTCTTAGAACCGCTGGTTTTGGGTGTGATCTCCAGGAAAAGAAGGTAACACCAAAGCCACGAAAGGCTGAGGAGAAACCAGTATCACCCTGTGGCTAGTCATCCTTAGCCAGCTGTCCCATCGGATCAGCAACATCTCCTTAGAAGGAGACGCACACCTCAGGCTGCTCCCTATCCACACTGGCCAAAGACCCCAAATGAGGGACCTCAGCAGCCCCTGCACTCCACACCCAGCAATGCACATCTTGGCCCTGGCTGTAATCTGAGGCTGCCCTCTCAGGCACTGTGTGCCACTCAGAGGCTACTGTCTGCACACCTACTGCTTTTTCTGCCACCTATGCCCTGCCCCGGGGCCACCTTTGACCTACTTCTTCCTGAGGTGTGAGTATCAGCCCAGGGGCACCTCAGGCTGCTCAGTCTCCCCCAGGAAGTTCACCCATCCTCTCCTTACCCAGAACACATCTTCTCAGCCTAGGCCTCCATCCCACCTGTACACAGCCGAGCTCTCCACTTTCCTCACACAGCAGCACTGTGAGCCCCAAGAACTGGATACCCCAACCCCCTGTCCAACCCTCCTCACACGGTTTCTTGCAGGGACCTATTCCCCAACTAGGGCCACCCCTGCAGCTGCCACACAACCCAGACCCGGCCTATCCCAGACCACGCCAAGGCCTGGCCAAACAGACCACATACCCCGGTAAGTCGATGTCTCACCTCATGGAAGTCTATACCCACTTCCTGGGTGTGGTGGTGCCAGGGTCAGAGGACACAGCTATGATGCCAGCAAGCATGGAAGGGTCATGGGGCCCAGGCTCCCGGAAGGTGAGGCTAAGGTTGATACCATGTGGACTGGGAAGGGGCCAGGCCTCCTCTGCTGTGCTTGGGCACATGCCACATGGCAGCCCTAGTAATGCATAGAAAGACTCCTGACCTGCATGAAGTACCCACCAATGGAGGTCCAATGAAGCAGGTGAGTCAGTGTCTAGTGCCCTCCAGTGGGCTCTGGCCCAAGGTTGTGCTCCTTAGCTACCCCTGAGGTGAATTCTTTACCATATCCAATAGCGTAACACACCAAGTTCACAGCTTTCAAGATCCCACCTCCAAAGGTACAGGAAGTTTCAGGAAGGAAGGTTTACAAAGCAGCCATACCTGTCTCCCCACATTCTCCTGGAAGGCAGCCTAAGGAGAGAAAGAACAAAGAGAGCAGGTGAGTGAGGCTTGCTTCTGTGAACACAGAAACAGATTCAAAACAAACACAGAGCAGTGCAAATGACCCATGGCTTCATTTTCTATATGAAGAGCCTTCACTGTTGGCTGCCCAGGGCCCCCACAGTCCTTTGTCATTGTCTTTGCATCCTGGTGTCCTTTAACATCATAATTTAAGAATCCAATTTATAAAATCAGGCATCCTGAAAAGTGGCCTTTCCCTGAGAACAGTTTTCACTCTAGAGTCCAGGATAAGGCCCCAGAGCCCAATGAAGAAAGAGCCAAACAGCCGGGTTAAATAAAAGCCAACCATGCAAATGCCTTTCTTCAGGAATTTTATAACCACCGCTTGCAACTGTCACCTTGCTGCTACATCTGCATGGGCACTGCCCAGTCCCACCAGCCTCTCCCACCAGTTCTCTGGGAGCTAAGTTGTGCATACCGGGTACTGAAAGGGACTGCAAAAGTCTTATCTGGTAGTCATAGGGGTGCACACTGATAAAACCAGGACTCTGGAAGGCTGAGGCAAGAGAACTGAAAATCTGAGACCAACTTGGGCTCAAATTTTGAGACCTTGTCTCAAAATAAAAAATTTTTAAGAAGAGTTGGGAATATAGGTCAGTATTACAGGTCTTAGGTTCAATTGCAATACACAAAAACCCTAAATAAATAAAAATTTAAAATTTTTAAAGGTCTGATCTTAAAACTAAAACCTAAATGTTTCACAGTAAATCCTCTTCACCTCCTGGGTGGCTCCTCCCCCTTTTGACAGGTGAAACTCCAGACATGGCAGGAGCTGGCCAGGTAACAGCAACACCTCACTTTCTGTCACTCAGCACAGGACTGACTCCCTCAAAGCACCCAGAGTTGAGTCCTCAGCCAGGGCTGGGGACAGGTGTAGACATGGGGCCTCCTCATATGGAGCTAAGCAGAGTTGCACATGCCTTCAACAGGTACAACACACGGGGACCAAGAACAGCACACGGGGACCAAGGGCCAAACCCAGGGAGGCCAGGAGAGACACCCTGCCTGGCAAGCCACTCCAGCACAGGCAGGCTTGCTGAGCAGCTGAGGATATACAGAATGTCAAGGAGCAGAAGCCATAGCCCCACACAATCAGAAAGCACTCACAAGGGCGCAAGGCTGCCCCCACAGGGGACTTCAGGCTGGGGTAGAAATACCAGGGGACACCCTACAGATGGGTCTCCATACTCTCCCTTTTTTTTTTTTTTTTTTTGGTCTTTTTGAGACAGGGTCTTACTACGCAGTTCAGGCTGGCCTTGAACTTGCTTATGTAGCCCAGGCTGGCCTCTAACTCACAGCAATCCTCCAGCCTGAGCCTCCTGAATGCTGGGATTATAGGGGTGCACCACCATGCCTGGCTCACTTTCTGAACTAGGAAGAGTGAGACTTGGTATTTGCTGATTGCCATCTTGTAAATTTTATAATAAACACATTCAAGAAAAGAAAACCAAAATACTTTGCAAAATAGGAAGTCAACAGAGTAATATTTAGGAACACATTTACTATTCTGGTAGCACCATCTGAAAGGTAAAGGATAATAGATTTATGTGGAAAAGCCCAAGTCCCAGCGCAGCAAAACAATCTTTAAAAAGAAAGGGGAGAAGTACTCCCTGGAAATGGAAGTTGACCAGCTGGCAGCGATAGTGATGGTGTGGGCTGAGCTGTCGGCATACTGCACAGGACTCAGGACCAGGGCAGGCACATCCTTAGCCTCAACACCAGCAGCACAACCCAAAGAAACCTGAGCTCTGCTCTGTGGGAGACTGAGCCACGGCTTGAAGGATTTGCAATCCACACAGCCAGGAAAGGTTCCTGGAATGTGGAATGAACTCAACACTCAGCAGAAAAAACAAATGACCCAATCAGAAAATGGGCAAAACACTTGAACAGGAACTTCTGAACAGAGAAGACCGGCAACAGCAGGTCACACCAGCAGGGAGCATCACATCATCATCATCAGGGAAACAAAAGTCACACCCCCAAGCTATCAACAGCAAGGCCTAAACCAAACACAGTGACCACATCCAATGCTGGTGAGAATGTGATGAGCCGGGCACAGCTCCTGGGGACAGGATGCGACCCAGCAACTGTGCTCCTGTGATTACCACAGAGAGAAGCCATGCCCACATCAAGCCTGCCCGCTAACGTCCACACAGATTTTCTTTTTCTCCCACCCCAACCCCCGCTGCGAAGGCCTGGGGATTGTACCCCGGGCCTTTGCACTGAGCTACATCCCCTCCCCTTTTCATTTTTCATTTTGAGACAGGGTCTCACTAAGTTGTCCAGGCTGAGCTCAAACTTGCAATTCTCCTACCTTACCCTCCCAGCATGCTGGGATTACAATATGCCACAGCTCCCCTTCTTAACAGGCTCAAGCCAGCAGCAACTGAGACAATCCAGATGTGCCTCAACAAGCAAACAAACCATGGCACATCCAGAGATGGGACCAAAGACTCCAGTGCCAGACAAGCCTCAGAGACATATGCCCAATTAAATGACCAGACGACAAAGCTCATGTGCCAGATACCACTTGGATCATTCTTGGAACTAGAGTATGACAGAGCTTGAGTGAACAGTGTTTCCCAATGACTGGGAGAGAGATGGCCCAGGTTAAAAAGGCCAACATGGGGACACCCTGGAGTTTGCTTGTTCTGTGCCTTGACTGCAGGAGACAGGAGATTGGAGATGTGCATGTGACTCAGCCACACAGAAGTAAGTGCGCATACATAGAACCAGGGAGCCCAACCAGGATCAGTGGGTGGTAGGGGTGTCTATTTCCTGGCTGTGTTAAAAGGAAACTACAAGATTTTATCACTGAGGGGGAATTTCGAGGGTATATAAACTCACTCTGTATTAGAACTACAGGAAAATCTCAATTATCTCAAAGTAAAACATCAAAAAACAATACTTGAAGAGTTTAGGCTCTATGCAGCAAATAGAGTACTGGATGGAAAAGATGTGAAAACATTCCAGTTAAATTGAGGGCTCCATGCCTTACAGAGGCTATCAACAACCATCTCCTCCCTGCTCCTGGCTGGATCCCTACAAGAGCCTCGAGGGCCATCTTGCTACCCTGTCCTTCCGTGGAGGAGAGAACATTCCCAGGTTCACCACTTGTGGGCTGCTGGACCTTCCAGCACACAGAGCAACCGGGAATCAGTTAGCAACTTCACCTGTCCACAAGCTCACCAAAGTACCTGTCACCATATACAGGCAGGGGTGACTTTCGCTGCATCCCCAGGTGCTGAGGATCCATAGGAGCACTTCCTCTGGGGATGCGGGGAGGACCAGCACCAAGGAGCACAGTGGCCACTTCTATTACCATCAGAAAAGCACTGTAGCCCCAGGCACTGCTGAAACCCAGGAAAAGGGGACAGTGCCAAGCACCAGCAGCTGGGGAAGAGGGCCGGGAGAAACGCAGTAAAGTAGAGCCTCGGGTGCAATTGCAAGGCCAGTGTCTCAGGGCACCTAGCCCTGCCAGTGGTCCCGGAACCCAGAGCAAGCAAACACCAGCCAGAGCATGAAAGGTCTGCCTAAAAGAGAAGCTTCACTCCCAATCAGTAAGTACTTGGTCCTCACACTTCAAAAAGAAAAAGGACAAAATTTAAGAGGCCTGAGGATGTGCTTCAGCCCAAAAGGCCTTGAGTTCAACTTCCAGTACTGGAGGAAAAAGGAATCCCATGACCTCAGACATTGCTGACTTTTCACTGTTTTAATTCTGCAGTCTACTACTAAGCAGGCAAACCTGGGTGATGTATAGGCCAATGAATTTCATGCCACTTTAAAAGGGTTTTAACTTGAAGAAAAAAATGATTTATATTGTTTTGTTTCACCTCATCACCAGGGTGCATTAAGCTTTAAGTGCTTTGATTTTATTACTGCTTCCATAAAAATGTCTTAGGTCACAGTAAAGAAAACATGAAAGTTAACTTTTTAAGTATAGAGTTAGCGTAAGTTCTTACAATGTCTCAGTCTTACAGCTACCGTCTGTTGGGTAACCAACAGAGCAAAGGTGTAAAGACCTCAGGATGAAGCCTGGGCTTCCTTCCAAAGCTTTGGAAAAAGCAGGAAATGCAGAGTGCCTCAGCCCTGAGACAGCAGAGTGAGTGCACCTGGCTGCCTGGCTTCCTTCATGCGGCTCAAGCTGCTGTTGCTGGGAATCTGGTAGACACAGCAGTACTATGCCAAGAGGCCAGAAGGGCCCAGCAGCTGTGTCATCTGGTGGCCACATGGCTGCCCTACACCCGGCTGTTCCACATCCTGAGCACATGTCATTAATGATCCCAAGCATGTTGGGATACCAAGCGCTGCTTGGGTACTCCCAGGCGTGAGGCACCTTCCAAGGGCACTCATCCCCCACAGCCTCCTGCGGGGTGCCCTGCCTGCTGGAAGGTTTGCCCTCATCTCAGGCCACCCAGACCCGGCCAGGAGACACCCCAGCCCAGGTTACACAGCACTCAGCACCACATCTTACAGCTTCCCCACAATCATCCCTTCCCAATTGTCCTATTAAAAATTACTAAAGTAGGGCTGCAGACACAGCTCAGTGGTGGAGCAAGTACTTACCTAGCATGTAGGAGGCCTGGACTCCATCCCCAGCAGGGCCAAAGAAACCCCCAAACAGATGGTGGCCCATGTACGCAAATGCAAGCTGCTTTTCACCCCCTCTCACAGACTCCATTTGCTTCCCACGAGACACTGGCCCCTGGGCACTAGGGAGCTCTCTTACCTCCCCACACACTGAGTGACAACCCTCTTCCCTACTCCCCAAATCCACTCTAGACCCAGGTCCTGTGGGGACCACCCTGGCTGTGGCCTGCTTTCGAACAGCTCCCCACCAGCCAAATGACCTGATCCCAGTCACTGACTATTTCACCCAGTGCCCAAGTGCAACCCTGCCAGGGCAACACCCAAAAGACATTCTACGGGTCTCCTCTGACTGGTGTCCGCCAGAGCCCAAAAAGACTTGAATCTCACCACTCACACAGCCCAGCCCCCAGACAGGTAGTGGGGCAGGAGGATGTGTTCAGCACCTCTCCGAGGTCACCACAGAAGTGGCAAGGCTCCTTCTGTTTGAGTCTACACCAACACCCTCAGCACTCTGGGTACCCAGCTTCCAAATACAAGCCAAGATGCAGGAAGGCCCCTCCAGTGAGACCTACCCAGCACGGTCAGGTGGGTAGAACTGAGCACAGCTCAACTACAGTTAATTGTGAAGGCTCAAGCCCCTCTATGGCCTGTTCTGCCTCCCGGTGCCTGTGTTCCATCCTGGGGCACCTGTCCCACCCCCATGGTCTGTCCCCCTAACATGTCAGATGCACAAGACCCACTGTCTTCTCCTCCATGGGACTCAGGCCATTCACCTGTCTCCTGACTGAGGTTCCTGGGCCACACTAGGAGGAAGGGCAGTGGGGCTGCTGCTGAATCCTGACCTGCCCTCCCAGGAAATGCAGGTGGATAGCTTCTGGCTCTGCTTAAATGTCCTGCTCTCCTCACCCTGGCTACATAGCCCCACGTGAGAGACACTGAGGCCCTCCTTTCCTGACAGGTCAGTCAGGGCAGGCCATAGCTCTGGAAGAGGGAACATGTAAAAACAATACTAGGTAATTCATTCAGGACCCCTCCGGCATCTCAGGAGCCATTCCTAGTCCCCATCCCTATTCCCCATTCCTTTTCCCTAATAAATTTTCCTACTCTTAAAAAAATAAGAAAAACAACAACAACAACAACAAAAAACGAGAACACTTACTGAAGCCGCTCTCCTGCAGTTCACATTTCGGTCAAACACTGAAGCGATGACCAGGGCACTGTAGAAAGAGGACATGGCTAATTAAAGGGAGCCCAAAGCAAGGCAGACTGCAAGATGCCAGGGGGCCTCTCTCCCTCTCCTCTCACTTATAACTTGCCTGGCCACCTGACATCTGTCCCCACACACACATCAGGCACCTTAAGCTGCGGGGCCACAAGAGAGCAGTGTGACCTCCCAGACATCAGAGTCCCAAGGGTGACCAGTCCCACATCTGATGAAAGCCACAGGGCGGCTGAGCACAGCCACATGGCTGACCCCAGGCTCTATGGCAACAGCTGCCTACGCCTTCCACAGCATGAGCTTCACACAGCAGACGGACACGCAGCCACAGACAGCCAGCACACACCAGCCAGAGCATCCCCCAGCTCGTGGGTGAACATCGAATCCTCTCCTGTGGGGTGAGGCAAGCCAAGAAGAGGGGTAGAGCTCCTTGTCGAGTCCTGCTAGCATTAGGAGAAAGGGATGCATGTGCAAAAGACACACACATATAAAGACACAAATACATGTGCACACATGGGAACCCACACACACATACACATCAGACGCATGCACAGAGGCACAAGCATGTATACATGCATGCACACAACCACACAGGCAAGCACAAACACACTGGCTCCATTTCCCCAGACACCTGGGGCCTAGTGGAGGGAGCAGGGCACTGAGCAGAGTGGGCCAAGACACTCTCTCCCTGTGAGATGAACAAGCCTTCTCCACTAGATGCTCCTGTGCTGACACAGGCCCAAAGCAATGAGCCAACTGCTCACAGACTGAACTCTGTGACAAGCCAGGGCTGGGCAGCAGTTCAGTGGGGAGCACTTGCCCAGGATGCACAAGGTCCTGAGTGAGGGGTACTGTCAGCCCAAATAAACTTATTCTCCTCACACGCTGATCACTCCAGGTGTCCTGTCTATGACAGGAAGCTGGCTGGCATGCCAAGACAACAGGTAAAAGTCACAGGGGGAAGCGGGCGTTTGGGCGACCCCCAGCACAATCATAGATTACAGAAAAAGAGCAGTCACCTGCCAGTGGACGCCTGGCAGCCCTACTTTCCCAGGTGACCAAGGTCCTCAGCCCAGTGCTGGTGGAGGCCATGTACCCAACATAGCACAGAAGAAGGTGTGGTCCCGTATCACTGCCTATAATGCCCACCTTGGTCATTCTGCTGGTCTGCCAAGGTGTCATCACCAGGATAGACATCAGACTGTGGATGGAGTGGTGACACTAACAAATGTGGGTGGGAGGAGAAAGAATATTCTGGAATTGGACAGTGAGGCTAGTTGCACAACTCTGAATACCACACCACTTGACACTTTAAAAGGTGAGTTTTATGGTATGTGAACTGCACTGCAATAAAACTGTCACTTTTTAACAATGCCCTGAGGTCATTCAAGACAAGGGAAGATGGAGGAGCCATCACAGAGTGAAGGGAACAAAGAAGACACAACTGAGTGCCTCTGGGGCCCTGGGTGCACTGGACAGAGGAGGACACACGAATGTGACCGGGCACACTTGGACTGCAGATCAGTGCACAGCTCACAGGTGGGGAGTGTAGAAGGGCCTATAGCCTCCACATCTGTGGGCTTCATTAAATGCACTATGATTCAGTTAGAGAGGTTCTGAAGAACAACTGCCTGCCACTCCTGAGGATCAGGGCAGTTACCAGGATGCTGACTCACGCTCCCATTGCTAGAAGCCAATGCAAATGGCTTTGGCGAGTCACACAAAACTAGTCTTTTCCTCTCTAAACTCTTTATTATAAAATAAATAGTAGCCACGATGAGAAAGGAAAACTTGATTTGAAACTACAGGGAACTCATCTTTCCCTAGCATGAACATTTTAAGACTGCTTCTGTTTCAAGTACTGTGGCTTCTATGAACACAGTCTTACATGTCACTAAACCAAGACCCAGATAAATGTGATCTCCCAATGATTCAGAGCTATAGACTTGCTGTTATTCAGGAACACTAAATCTATTGGAAGAGAAAGTAGGTAAAAACCTTGAAGACATAGGGGTAGGCAGAGAGTTCATGAACAAAAAACAAATTGCACGTGAAACACTTGAAAGAATCAACAACTGGGATCTCATCATATTGAAAAGTTTCTGCACATCTAAAGAAATCACCAGCACAGTAAAAAGAAAGCCCACAAACTTGGAAAAAATTTTAGCTGACTGTCCCTCAGACAAAGGGCTTCTATCTAGAACATATAAAGAATTAAAAAATATCAGCCCCTCGAAATTCAAAGACCCAATCCAAACATGGGCAGCTGAGATGAATACACACTTCTCAGTCAAGGAGATACAAATGGCAAACAAATAGATGAGAAAATGTTCAACATCATTCGTCATTCGAGAAATGCAAATTAAAACAACACTGAGGTTCCACCTTACCCCAGTAAGAATGGCTAGCATTAAGAAATCAACCAATAACAAATGCTGGCGAGGCTGTGGAGAAATAGGAACCCTTCTCCACTGCTGGTGGGAATGCAGACTGGTGAAACCACTGTGGAAATCAGTTTGGAGATTCCACAAAAAACTAGGTCTAGAGGTCCCATTCAACCCAGCTATCCCCCTGCTGGGTATTTTCCCAGAAGATCTAAAAACATCATATCACAGCAATATATGTGCACCTATGTTCATAGCAGCACAATGTGTAATTGCTAAATTGTGGAAGCAACCCAAATGCCCATCCATCGAGGACTGGATAAGAAAATTGTGGTACTTTTATATAATGGAATATTACTCAGCTATAAAGAAAGATAAACTCGAGGCTTTCATAGGTAAATGGTCACAACTACAGACCATGCTCATAAGTGAAATAAATCAGACATACATGTGCAAGCACCATATTGTTTCACTAGTGTAAAACCTGAAAGGGTTAATTTAAACTAGGAAGTATGATAGACATTGTGAAATGATAGGAAAACACTCAAGGGTAAAGGGCAATTGGGATATGGGAAAAGAGAAGGGAAAGAAGGAGAAATTTTGTATGTATGTATATACAGGATAGTTAACATAGTTGTTCTACTGTCTTCTATTTCTTTGCTGAAAGAAAACTGTCAATGAGTCCTTGATTGATCAATACTGCATGTCTCTATCTGTATTCATGAGAAACCACTTTGAAGATATCAATATGTAATGCAACAAGCATTGTTAATTTCCTACCACTTTGTTTGTAACTCTGTATTGTCTGTACTGTCTTTTGCTATTTTGTAAACTGCTGTCTGTCTCTTAACGTTTTCCTCCTTTTATTTTTAAAATTAAAAAAAAAATTTTTTAAATTTTTAAAAAAGACTTGCTGTTATTAATAAAACAAGTTTGGTATTCTAAATACATTCTCAGAATCAACAAATGTATTATTCTTACATTCTAATGATAGCTTTGCTTTTTCAAATCCATAAAATTATGTTTTCTATGGAAAGGAAATCAACAAACAATTTCTGCTTTCATTCAACATCTGCCACCAAGAAACGCGGGCTCCAGTAATTACTGTAAAAGTTCACCCTCCACACAGAATTCCTAGAGTCCCCCGTCCATTTCTCTGTCCTGCTTATTATTTTACACTGGAACCTGAACCAGCAAGAAGATGAAGCAAATGAGAAGAAATCCTAAATCACCTCCCACCCTAGCGAGGGCCTGTAGCAGCATCCTAGTCATGGTCACTTTGACCACCCTTTCAAGGCAGCAGAACAGGGCCTCCACTCTGTGCCTGCAGACCCCTGCCTCTGCCCAGGAAAGCTGGCCAGGGTCCAGTTCCAGCTACACAATGGACCACTGAGGAGAGCCCCAAACCTAGTGGGCCCAGTGCCTCAGCCAAAGACAATGAGGTCTCCAGGACAGTCTCTAGGGCTAGCCCCTGAGCATCTCCCTCCCCTCAGGTCCTCCCCAAGGCCTCAGCCCCTGCCACCTTTTTACTAAGACTCTTCACAAGCAGTTCTGCAGCTGCACATGTGATCTACAGGCTGAGCAGAGTTCCCTGCCTGGTGCTACCGGCCATCCCAGGGTATAAGGGGGCCAGGCACACACTACCCTCCACACAGCTCTCTCTGTGCTCAGCATTAACACTCAGGAGACTGGGAAACAAGGATTCCCCACGCTAGGGGTGGTCCTCCAGCCACCAGGGCAGCAGCTGTAAGACTAGCCCACTCACTGCAGCTTTTGGTTGCCAGCCATCCTACAGTCTCCGAGATGCAGCTCAGAGAAGCCCCAGCAACCCACTGCTAAGAACAGTCAGCAATCTGGGCAAGAAGATGGCAGGTGGCCTTGCTCTCGGACTCACAGTAGACATGCCCTCTAAACTGCCACAGCTGAGAACTAAGGATGGTCCACAGAGATCCCCATAGCAGGAGCAAGCAGTATATACTACAGGCAGAGGTGATCAGACTGAGCTAGAAGTCTGGCACAAACTCCCACCAAGTCAGTTTTTGCCTTTACAAGTAAACATCTTAAAACAGCTGCTGCCTCATCCACACAATTCACCAAACTTCACAGGACACAGAACAAACATAACAATGCCTAGGAACCACTGCTTTCCATTACTGCAGGCTTCCAAGTTAATCCAACATGACAAGTGTGTGTCCACAGTTGCAACAGGGTTTTGAAGAGTATTTTGATTTGGACTCAATTCTTAAAAACTACTTTCACACTTAAAGACCAAAACTGGCTTGGCTAGAAATACTAGTATGTCTCAAATACAAATAGGTTTAACAATACCGGTTACATATATAAATAGGAACGCACCTCCCCAAACCACGGCTCTTGAGGCGTGGCCCTCCACTGCCCCAGCAGGATGGCTGTGCCACACAAGGCAGGGTTCTGCCCAGCATGGCAGAGGGAGGTGAGAAGCCAGGCCAGCCTCAGGCCAGGCTGCTGGGGCAAGACCTACTGTGGGCATCTCCACAGCACAGACCCAGGCCCCCTCAAGTCCGGGGAATGTTGCACTGCTCACTCAGTGAGGAACAGAGCTCACCAGTACTCTGTTTCTTATTTGTGCAGTATCCTCAACACTCAAAAACAAAACCCTGCTTTCACCTGAGCAAAAATAATCCTGTCATTCTGATTTTTTTTCCAGTGCTGAGGATGAACCCAAGGTTTCACAAACACTGAGTACATGCCCTAAACTCCCAGCCCGGAAGTAAAAAAAGCTTTGAATACCAGACTAATAATTAGTATCCATCCACCTTTTCACAAACTGAAAATCACATATTTCTTCAAGTAAAATATGAGCTGAGCCCTGTCTTTGGTTGAATGTCCCTGAAACATAAACAAGCCAGAGCCCTGGCCACACAGTGACACACTGCACAGCACTTCAGGGTCACAGCACAAGTGGCCCACCGTGAGGGCTGGCCTCTCTGGGCAGCACAAGGCTGTACAGTGTCTCCCTCTATAAGCCGGGCCTCAGAAGCCCAGGGAGAACAAGACATAGCTTTGAGCAATGCTTGCCATTTCCTGATTTTTCAGGACAATCTTGCCCTCGAGGAAGAGATCTCACTGAACCAATCCCCAGGCCCCTGCAGCCCACGCTGCCAGACCGGTTTGCCGTGGAGGCGAGAGTCAGGAGCTGCCCCGGGCAGGGGTGGGAGCACACGTCAACTAGGACTCGGCTTACCAAAGAGTTTCAGGTGAGGAAATCGCTGAAAGGCAATGGTCAGAGCACGCTGGCACCTGAGCACAGGCCTTTTCTGTCCTTCCTGCAAACTAGCTTTTGATCACCGGTCAGAAGGAATTTTCTAGACAATGAACACTGTCCACTGCATTGTCACAGTACACGTCTCCGCTGCTGTATCACAAATCTGCTTTCCAAGAAACACTACTCTCCCACCCTCAGCTGTCTGTGTACAAGGCTGAGGAAAGACTGGCTCTTGAAAGCAACCAACACAACTTCAAAACGTGAAAAAAATCAGACTAAAAAACTCCTCGAGACAGATAATAGAAAACAGGGAAACAATCTTTTGCAAACCAGAAGATGGAGAGTTAGGGGAGAGAGAGGAGGGGAAAGGACGTGAAAAGAACCAAGTTGTGTTCTATACATGTACCAGTCCCCACAGGGCATGTAACCAATATGTACTACAAACATACTTATAAAAATAATAAATCAGAGAGGAGTGATATAAATTCACACTGAGGCAGGATAACAGTTAATCCAAATTTCTTCAGCAAAAAATCAGGGATATGAGCCACTGTGCTCTGCACTGATATCTTTGAGAACTTAGCACTCAGGAGTACAAGAGGCCAGTGGCCTCCCATCTACTCCCAGATCTTCCTGTCAGACATTGCTATTCTGCTTAGAAAAGTACATTTTGATCTCAACTGTCTACTTTTATAGGATACTCTGGAGAGTTTGTGAAAGTAAAGGTACCAAGATTTTATCCGGTGCCAGAATTAATGGGCTTAAAAGCTGCTAATTAAAGTGTGGTCACTCATGCTGAGCTGAGTGGGGCAGGCCTGGAGGCACACCCCAACCGATACTAGCTCAGGCTTGGGCTCGGGCTCGTGCTTGGGCGGGTGGCACAGGCTCCCAGGCAGGGAGGCCAGCAGAGAGCTTCCTGACTCACCTCCACCTCCCCCGCCACATGCCTGGAGTCTGCAGGGCCGAGGAAGGCAGGGCACCACAGGTTCCCTCAAACTTGCCGAACCAGCCTGCAACCTGCAGCAGGCACAGCCCCAAGGAACAGGCTGACCTGCCCAGGTGGGCATGGGCCAAGGGGCAAGGGGCCTTCTTCGGCAGAAACTCGACAGGCAGCACCACAGCTGGTGACTCCTGGGCTAATCCAAAGACTATGTAGATGGAGCAACCATGGCAGCTAAGGCTTCCCCATGCCCATGTGAGTTTCTACAGACAAATGCAGGACATCGTCACACACTAATCACTCTCCAGCTATGGAAGTTACGGCTGTCCTAGAGAATTGCACCCTTTCTGAACTGAGGCACCTAGCTACACTGTGGGCCGCAGCCCAGCTCAGAAACATGGCTTTCATGCCACCTACTAGGTCCCAACACAGGCCATACATCTTCTAAAGTATGCCCCAAGGGAAATTCAGTCCACACCGTTCTGGGAAGACCATCACCCAGTCCTCTGGCCCACATAGCACAGTCACACTCACAATGTCCCAAGGGCACATTTACTGGCCATTTCTCCCAAAGTCACTGTGGAGCTCACACAGTATTGTGACATCAGTACAGAAGCTGAAGAAAGCATACAGGCCCCAGGAAACCTTTTCCACAGGTCTACTGCACCGCAGACACCCTTCAAGAACAGGGCCCATGCTCGCAGTGACAGAGCCCTAGCCTGAGTAGACAGACTCCCTCGGCTCCCTCACCCCCTCTGCAGCATCCGCCCCCACCAAAGTGCTCTGGAACAGAAGCCAGACACTACCAATCTAAAGGAGTTTCACTATTCTGAGACAGTTCACATAAACAACAGCAAAATGTTTTTCTTTTGATCCCTGGTTACTGGATCAGCTACCAGAAAGTTGAGGAGCAAGACAAAAAGTGGGAGGACAAAACCTTTCCCGAAACAGCATGGACAACCAAACTTCCATCCACAGGGCAGAGCAGCAACAGTAGAGCAGGGCTCATGAAAGCCCATCTGCAGCCAGCCCAGTTGCAGTGGGAAGAGCTGGCCACAAGGACAATGGACAGAGGCACAGTCACACCTGCTCTCCACTACTCCAGGTCTCACTGTCCTCAGAAAAGACACTTTCCACAAGCACCCCCCAACACAAGCACCCTGCAGCCCCGCCGTACCCATCAAGGGTAGATAAGCCCATAAGGGAAAGACACCTCCTCAGCTTCTTCAGAAGCACCTTACTTATCTCCTAGGGCAGGGACAGGATTCTCCTGTGGGGTCTCTTCAACTGGGAGACGGCCCCAGGGCAGCCCTGCAGGGACTGCAGTGCGCACAGGCCTGCCTCTGACCCTGATAAACTCAAGGTACAAAGAGATACTGAAAGAAGAGAGCTCCTGTCACAGCAGCCTTGAACCCAGCCTGGTATGACCCCAGGGCCACCCGTGGCTGTCCTGCAGTGTGCTGATGGCCAGATGGCAGGTGGCCATGGGCCTCATCAGAAGTACCAGGGAGGGCCTCAGCCAGAGACAACCCAGGACAGCCACAGAACCAGAGCACCCCAGGCAGCGTTCCCCTGCTTGGCAGGCTCAACCGTACAGTCACTCATCCTCCTGGGCATTGTATAAAAGACCCAGCATGGCCACCTAATAACCTGCAGCCTTGTATATGCTGAGAAAGACTCACCACTGAGCCACAACACACGCATGCGGGGCAAGTGCTTACCAGTGAACTACATACCCAGCCCTTTTCTATATTTTATTTTTTATTTTGAGACAAAGTCTTGCTAATTTGCCCAGATGAGGCTTGAATTTATGATTCTCCTTCCTCAGCCTCCAGAGTAGCTGGGATCATAGGTATACACCACAAGGCCTGGCTCAAGTCTAACTCTCACCTGGTTCCTTTTCCAAGTCACAGTTATCAGACAAATCTCTGTGTATCACACGACGAGGGTGGGTATGCAGCTCCTTCCAGTCCCTCTTTAGCCCCTCAGAACACTCCACCTCAAGGAACCAGTCACCTACCAAACTAGCACAACGAAACTTAAAGAGATTCCTATACTACAACACCACTATTTTGTATCTTTCCAAGTAAAAAATACCAACTCCTAAAAGCTAGGCAGGATGGCACAGGCTCAAGACCTCTACCAGGAACCTCTTCCCAGGAACCCGGCTTCCTCCCCTCGGGTTATAACCATAGTCCAGAACACCACAGCCCACATTGGGCCCTGGGATCCCACCTTCCCAGGGACTCAGCAACCTGCCGCTGTGGCCTCTCTCCCCAGGGCACCTTGCTCTACATAGAGCTCCCTGAGGAGGCTGAGTGATGCAGCAGTCTGTGGACACCAGCAGAATACTGCCCCGCCCCACCTCCAACACCCCTGTGTTCTGAACTCTCCAGAGGCAGCTGTGAATGGACCTTCCTGAGTACCCCCTCCCCACTGGTGCTTCCTGACTGCTCCCCAGAACATGGGTCCACAGGGAGGGGCTGACTGGGCACTGCCTTCCACTGACCCCTGAAACCTAAACCCCTGCCCTTTAAGAACACAATGCCCTCAAGATGACAGGCACAACCCAAAGGCTCACCTGGCAATGGCAGCCACAAACGGTGCCAGCTCCTGCGGGTCATAGGCACGTGCAAAGGCCCAGCACACGTAGCAAGCAGCATCCCTGACGTTGGCACCTACACTGCAGGCTCCCCGCTTCTCCTCGTAGGTCACAGCTCTGAGGATCACGGCAACCACTGTGGAAGACACAGACAGTGAGGGCTGGCATGCCACAGTGCAGCACCGACAGTGTCTGACTATAGGAGAAAACCCCACGGGAAGAGGGAAGCCCACACCTCAAAGCAGATGACAGTCAGGTAGGGAAACAGCAATTCCTTCAGAGGGGCACCAACTCCCTGCTGAGCTCCAAGGACTGAGGCTGACCTGAGCATTACGAAGGTGAAAACCACATGTGATATGACAGAGACCTGAGTTCCGTGGGGCCCTGGGTGCCCACGGATAAGGCAGAAGGATCTAACCCTTGTCTCCTGGCAGCAGCAGGGCCTCAACAGCCTCCAGGGAAGAGGCCATGCACAGCACTACAGCCTCAGGAGCAAGGGCTCCAAGGCAGCAAACTCAGCCCTTGGCTGCTATGTGGGCTTCACCATCTGTAGTGCTTGCAACCATCACAGTGGCATGAGGTACACTGCAGAAAGTATGTGTGCTCCTGTGAACACTGAAGTCACACGTGTGACTGCTGACAAGGATCACAGCAGAGTCTGAGACCTGTGAGTCCAAGTACACAGCAAGCCATTTCCAGATCAACCTGGGGTTCACTAGCCACCTAGTTGGTGGCTACATGCTGTGCTTGTAAACAAGCTACAGTCTGTGGAGGTCACCCCAGGCCAACCAGGAGTGGAAGATAAGCCCCTAACGGCAGCCACAGGATGCAGATCCAACAGCCAGCAGCAGACAGACACTGCCCAGTACAACCCGTTAGCCTGCTCCACAGCACCACTCATGGCTGCCCACACCCATCCTCTGGGAAACAGCACCTAGACAAAAATCACCAAAGTCACGAAAAGCAGGACTACAAATGTTATACAGAATGTCCTTCTGCCTTTCTGCTCTAAAGATTTTTACTGTATATAATAGCACCCAACATACTGATAGGATTCCAGACAGTTTATTTTATATATATACAGTAATTATTTCTAAAAAATTATAAATTTGCTATTTATAGGTTTACTTAAAACTATACCTATGAACTCTCAAAAGTAAAAGCCTCACAGACACTGATATTGGTTATGTCTACTTCCACTAGGAGGGAAGCCCAGGCCTGCACACAGGACAAGCCACGGGCCAGGGCCACACAGCTTCCTGCGGAAATAAAGGAACCATGAGGTTCCCACAGATTCCAAGGCCACCCAGCCTGGTCCTGGCCTCCTCTTCACCCTGCTATAACCCCAGCAAGGCCCAGCCCCCTGCCAAGTCTCACTCTCTCACCCCAACACACCTCGGTCCCTCACAGACACCTAGGAGGCCACCCAGTGGGCCAGAGACAGTCTATCTCCCAAGTATGCTCAGAACAGTCACAACAAAGCTGCTGCCCTTGACTTTTCCAAGTCTCATGCCAGCAGCCACGCTGCACCCCAGTCCTTCCTGCCCAATCCACCCACAGAAGGCACAATGAGGTCATACAAACCAACTTGCTAGCTCCCTCTCGAGACCCCATCCCACCCAGCCCCAAGCCACTCAACCCCCACAGCAGAGTGGACACTGGGCCTCCCCACAGGGTAAGAAGCCACAGCACCCAGGGACCTTCTGAGCTGCCAAGAGCACCAGGGGCTGAGCCTGGTTATCTGCAGCACTGCCTGTGGCCCCTGTAAACTCCTCACACCCACCTTCTCCACACAGAGCATTCCATCAGGCTCACAGGAGCCGTAAAAAGGCAAACCCAACAAAGCTGCAGCAGCCACATCTAACCAAGACCTCACCTAGAGCTGAAACAAGCCTGTAATGCCGGCAAGGCATACACTGTCCCACCTGGAGAAATGCAGCTAACCTGGAATTACTCCCAATGTGCTGGTGTCACTCAAATTCACTTGGTGGCCAAGCAACGTCACGATAGTGGCACTGGGAGGGCAGGGCCATGAGGTGAAGCTTCTGCTGAACTGACTCCCTGGACTCCCTCATAGATGCTCTGGGCAAGGCCAGCCGGCAAGTCCATGGCCTCAGGGAAACTTGGATGCCCTCTCCAAGTGTCAACTTACTATTCCACTGGGCAAAATCAATTTCCGAGCAGACAGCTACAAGAGGCGGTGGCAGCAGTTCCAAGCCCTCCACATGGGTCCCATACCAGCTCCACAGAAGCTGCTGCTCAGCACCACCCAAGAGTACCCTGTGCAGCACTGTGAAGCCCAGCAGGGAGGCGAGTTTCTGCTTCCAGGCTGAAGTGAGATTGTTCTGCAAAATGCCCTTTGCACTGGCTACGGAGACTAAGCACAAAAATCATAAACCAGCCACAAAAATCATAAATGACAGGTCTGTATCTGCTAACAACCCCTGTCTCAATACGGAGACACTCTCAGGGTTGGGAGGACCCACTTGTGGGTATCCAGTCTACATCTCTGCCTAGAGGGAGCCAGCCTGTACAGGGGTGCAGGAGCCAGAGCTCATACACCCACTACAGCCTGATTGCCATCCGGCCATGTTGTGGGCACTGCCTGGACTTCCAATGTCAGCAGGTACTAAGTCAAAGGAGCAGACAGCAGAGCCCACGGGGCCGTGGCCCACTACCAGCACTGTCGCATGTCATGTGTCACACATCCTCACGACTGTCCTGTACTCTTCCAAGACACCCAAGGACCTCCACAAGCCACAGCAAACATCAGGGTTTGAAGCACAGCCACTTACGAGATCCAGACACCACAGGCCAGCTGAGCGAAGGGGTTACTCTGCCACAGGCTGCTGGGAAGGTCTCTGACTTGCAGAAAGTGGAGCAGCTTGAGTGAGACAGCAAGATGACAGACCCCATAACCAGAAAAGGAAACCAGCTGTTGGCTCTGACTCGCCCATGACAGCGAGAGTGCAGCCTGTGCCACCTAAGGGAAGCTCCAGGAGACAAGGCCAGGCCAGCCTCAGTGGCACCTGGAAATGGGTGCACCCAAGTCTGAGGCATCTGGACCAGAAACTCTTTGCACTAAATTCTAGATAAAGTCATTATCAGAGAAAAGATTCAAAAGCTAACAGCTCTTTCCACAGCCAACAGATTTAAAATAAGGAAACTGTTCACTAGCTCTGAACAAAACCCTTTCTCATGGTTCCAATTACACGCTGCAAATGCATGTCAGATATTACCTACCCAGAGGGCTTCCTTTTGGCTACCCAGAGCCCAATGATGTAACCTAAATGCCCTTCTCCCAGACAGCGCGTCATCTGCTTAATGCCAACTGCCCAAGGAGAAGCAGCCTCTAGGAAAGAAGCACCTCAGCTCTCCAAGCTCCATGACCCACTACAGGGTCCACAGAGCCTGAGTGCCCAGGGATGGAGGACCGGGCATCCTCTACAGATGCAGAAACAACCCACCCACAGCACTCACTCTTCATGAGCAGCCACTAAATGGCATTCACATTGAGGCAAGCCACCACTCACACATCAGTGCCCTGTGTGGCTCCAGCAGGCATGCCTGGTACAGACCAGAGGCCTTGCTCGACTCTCCGCCCTGAACTGGACAGTGGGGAGTGCATACAGCTGATGGGCCAGTGGCAATAAAGACACTTTCTCAGAGGTGAGTGTGAAGACTCCCCTAGCACAGGCTGGACCTCACATTGGAGGGCCTCCAGACTGCACCTGTGCACCCCACAACAGAGCCAGTGGGAGCAATCAGCCTTTCAGAGCTGCAAAACTCGCCACTCATACCAACAGCCATTATGCCACCCTCAAGAATGCAGTCTGGCTCGTTCAGAAAAATGCCCATGCTGAGGTCGCTGTGGGCAGGAGGAAATAAGGGGTAGAACACCTACAGGATGTGGCAGGGCTGCCAGAGGCCCTCACTGGGTTGTAGCTGCAACACCCAAAACTATAGGAAGGGGAGCATAGACATGAGCACCACACCTACCCTTGGACGGCCAGACACTGGCCCCAGGGCACCCGCTCTGTACCAGGCACAACCCGCAGGTGTCGCCTGGCTCTGCCTCCCCATAGGCCTCAGGTACTCACCCAGTCCGGTGGGCTCACTCTCCTTCCAAGCAAAGGCCCACGTCTGTGAGGTCCAGAAATCTGCCCCCGGCCCACCACACATATGCAGACGGCGAGGTGACCTCTCCCAGCCAGGTGTCCTAGGGTCCCACAGCCCTGATTGGGGACACTGTTTTTACCATGCCACAAATCAGGCACAGCAAAGACCCTTCACTGAAGAAATGCAGGTCCATGTCAGCCAATGTGTCCCCTGGAGGACCTTCAAAAATGCTAAGAGTCTCAGAACAAGATGGAGGCAAAAGACAACCACATCCTGACCCAGTACCAAGGGCAAAACTTGCCATGCCATACCCAATATGCCCTCTAAGAGCCTCACAGCACCCACACCCACTACCCTATACTTAGCACTCTCTGGGGATGCACCAGCAGGACACACAAGTCGACATCTCTTCCAACAGTGGGAGACTTGGGAAACTCAAGTGGCAGACAGTAGGAAATCCAGATGCACTCTGGTAGCCTTACACCTCACATATCACCCGTCCAAGTCTGTGCTACTCTGAGAAGCCCCTATCTCTAGCCCATCAGCCCCTGCACTTGTGCTGCTCACAGGGGGAGGAATTCCAGGGCCAACCTTTCAGAATACCCTGTTGAAACACTAAAAAAATAAATTTTCACTGGGTGTAGGGTAGTGCAAGTTTGAGGCCAGCCTGTGCAACACAGACTAACATAGACTAGACCCTGTCTCAAAAAGATATGCATATTTTTGACAAGTCTGGGCACCTGCCTGTCTAGCAGGGCAGGAGCCACCTTGGAATCTCAGCCATCATCTACAGCACAGGTTCTGGGCAAGGAACCAGTCTGTGGCCTGTGAGATGAAATAGTTCCCAAGGTCCATCTGAGGGCTGACAGCCAACCCAACAAGATACCATGGAGATACCCAAGTCACTTCCACTATGCCCCCCTCACCAACACAATCTCGCAATCTCACAAGGCCTCGACCTAAGGACTTGAGGCCTCTGCCAAAGTAAGTGTGTAAGTGAATGGCTCCTCTTCCATG